CTCTCTCTCTCTCTCTCTCTCTCTCTCTCTCTCTCTCTCTCTCTCTCGCTGTCTCTCTGTCAAATAAATAAATAAATAAAATCTCTAAAAAAAACCCCCAAAACAGTTGGCTCCTTCTTTGGGTCTGCAGAAGGTAGGAGTGGGGGGCTTTCCTTGCACGTCCCCATGGCTCCCTTCCCCCCCCCCCCCGCAGCGACCCCCACATCCCACGTTCCTTTTCCTCTTGGGAAGTTCTTCTGTAGGTCTGCCCGGAGCCTCTGCCTCCCCAGTGGGAAGCCGCAAGCCTAACCCAGACTCTTCTTTCCTGCAGGGTGAAAAAGCCAGAAACCTACCTGGTGCCTAAAGACAAGAACATTACGGGTGAGAGCCGGGGGCAGCCACCTGTAGGTCACCCTGCAGGGACTGGGAACGTGATGGGGGTCCTGAGCACAGGCCGTGCAGGCAAAGGAGCCGGGGTGGGGGGGGAGTTATCTTGGTGGGTTTCACTAAAGACTGAGGGTTTTGGGGGGGGGGGGGTTACTGGTCAGTGAAGCTTTCGAAGTTCATGTCTGTGGCCGCAGAGCCCAGCCCGACCCCGGCTCCCAACAGCCCGCGACGTCGTGGCTGACTGAATGAACGTGTTTGGGGGCAGAGGGGCCTGACGGTGTCTGATCTGTTGTGCACGATAATTGTTAATAATACAGCCTGACATTTATTAAGGACTTATTCTGTCCCAGGCCCTATTTTATTTATTTATTATTTTATTTTTTAAATGATTATTTATTTTTTTTTAAGATTTTATTTATTTGACAGAGAGAGGCAGAGCGAGAGAGGGAACACAAGCAGGGGGAGTGGGAGAGGGAGAAGCAGGCTTCCCGCTGAGCAGGGAGCCCGATGTGGGACTCAATCCCAGGACCCTGGGACCATGACCTGAGCTGAAGGCAGACGCTTAACGACTGAGCCAGCCAGGGGCCCCCCAGGCCCTATTTTAAATGTCTTGTACATATTAACACATGGAATCATCTCTAAACAAATATGAAGTAGGGACCAAAGTGCTATTAGCCCCATTTCACAGCTGGACACACTGAAGCTTGATTTAAGCTGGGACTCAGGTCAAGGGCCACACAGCCACGAAACGTGGAGCAGGATTTCAACCAGTGAGTGGGATGCCCGGACGGGGCTATGGGCCTCTCAACAGTGTGGTCCAGGGGCCAGCAGTGTCTATGCAGGCCAAAGCACCGCAGACCGGGGGAGGGGGGAGGGAGGGTCTTAAACAACTGAAATGAGTTCTCTCACAGTTCTGGAGGCTGGGAGTCCGAGATCAGGGTGTGGGCAGGGCTGGGCTCTGCCGAGGCCTCTCCCCTTGGCATGCAGATGGCTGCCTCCTTGTGCCCTCAGCCGGCCTTCCCTCTGTGCACAGACCCCCCTGATGTCTCCTCCTCGTCTTATAAGGACGCCAGTCCTATGGGGTCAGGGCCCCACCCTTATCACCTCCTTAAAGGCTCTAACTCCAAATACAGATTCTAAGGTACTGGGGCTTAGGGCTTCAACATGTGAATTTTGGGGAGGGAAGAAGAGAGGTATTCCAGTCTATAACATGGTGCAGTAGCAAGACCTGGGGGCTGGTTAGAAATGCAGACTCTCAGGTCCCATTGCCGACCTGTGGAACCAGAACCCGTGTTCCAGCAAGATCCTGGGGTGATTGGTGTGCACATTAGGGCGCAGGAGGGCTGCTCACTAACCTGATCAAGTGAGAAAGAGGGTGTGTAAGGTGTGCGACTAGTATCTGGAACACACTAGGTGCTCCATAAATGTGGCGCTGTGAAACTACCTGGTCTCTGCTGCTTTCTAGTTGGCAGGGGACATCTACCTCCAGCGCACCTGGTTCTGGTGGCCCGCGCAGGGGACTGCCTGGAGGAGGCAGCCCATCCCCGCACTGTGCACTCACCCCGCCCTCCCTCTGTCCACACTGTGCACTCACCCCGCCCTCCCTCTGTCCAGACATCACAGGCCCCATCATCCTGCAGACGTACCGGGCCATCGCTGACTGTGAGAAGACCTCGGGCTCCCAGATGGCTCTGGCCACGGGTGATGTGGTAGACGTCGTGGAGAAGAGTGAAAGCGGTCAGGCTCCCTGCCCTGCCGGGACCTCAAGCCCCCTACCAAGGCTCTGACCCTCAGACAGCCCCCGGCTTCCTCCCTGCCTGGTCCACTGACAGGCTCGTGTCTCCTCCGGGCACCCCAACTGGCCTCCCCACGCTGAGGGCACCCCCCCAGGGGAGGCTGTGGGCATCTGTGCATCCCTGGGGGTCAGGTCCAGGAGGCCAGCTGAGCCCCTGGGTGTGCTGTGTGGGAAGCAGGTTCTGAGCTGTGATCCCGTAACCTGTGTGCACGGAGTGTGGCGAAGGTGACATTTCTGAATCTGAGTGTTGGATGTCTGTGTCTATGTTCGGGTGTCCTTACCAGCCTGGTGGCCGAGGGAGGCTGCCAGGCCCGCCCGGACTTCCTGCCTCACCTCCCCCCCGCTCCCGTCCCTGCACAGGCTGGTGGTTCTGCCAAATGAAGACAAAGCGAGGTTGGGTCCCAGCGTCCTACTTGGAGCCCCTGGACAGTCCTGATGAGACAGAGGACCCAGAGCCCAACTACGAAGGTGCGGCCTTGCCCTCCATGGCCATAAGGATATGAGGGGAAGGGACCAGAGGGGCCCTGGGATATTGAGAAGCCAGATACAATCATATCCACTTTGGGGTTGGATATGATTGTGGGGTGCACAGTGGGCTCAGGTTGGAGACCCCATAGTCTGGCTTGAGGGGCCCAGGTAGGAGGTGGTGCCCTTGGTCAGGACAGAGAACCAGGAGGCAGAGTAGAGGTGGGTCCAGTCCAGGCCAGGTCCAGTGGGAAGCCAACTGAGGAGCAGATCTGAGGTTCAGGAAGGAGCGCTGCCTGCGGGCAGGGGCATCCTCACTGACTGCAAGGGGAGAACCGGCAGCCCGCGGGCTGGAGCTAAGTAAGTTAGAGTTGATTGCCCGTATTTTAAAATGGAGAGATTCCACAACTGTATGCGGATTTATGGCATCTCTGGAAAAACTGGAAAAGGTGTGGACGCCGGAGTCAAGTGGCTCAGGTGCCGTGTGGACAGGTGCTCCACCCCTGCACCGCCTGCCTGGCCAAGTGTCCTATTTAGGTGCCTGGCCCCTGATGTGGATGGTGGGGGGTGGGATGGGCCAGCTCCCCCACGGGTAGTGGGCAGAGGGCGGAACTCCAGGGTGCCCCAAGAGTGGGTGGCCGGAGCCTGCAGAGGGAGACCAGTAAGGAGCAGGCAGGGAGGAGGGGGGAGGGTGGTCCTGGGCTCTAGCTGGAGAAAGCCTTGGGGCCCACAGAGGAGAGGAGGGGAGGCAGGCCAGCGCTGGGCGGACCCTCACACCGTGCCCCTGCCCCCACGGCCGACCAGGTGAGCCCTATGTCTCCATCAAAGCCTATACTGCCCAGATGGAGGATGAAGTGTCTCTGCAGGAGGGCGAAGCCATTGAGGTCATTCATAAGCTCCTGGATGGTTGGTGGGTCATCAGGTAGGAGAGCACCCCTCCCTCCCCACTGTGCCCACCCTGAGTGTCAGCCCTGGCCTGGGGCCCGGTCTGTTTGGGCTCAGTGCTGACTCAGGTGTGGGACTCTGGATAAGCCACCACCTCTCTCTGGACTCAGTTTCCATTTTGGTAGCAGATCAATGACTATCCCACCCCACCTGGCTCTCAGTGTTCACTGTCCTTGTTCTTTGTGACTTAGGGTCACTCGCCATCTGTTATTCCTTCTACAACACAATTAATTGTTGCGTTAATTATTTTTCTTGAGAACTGGTAGGGCAGACCCTGCCATCCATTCTCCTTTTAAATCTTCGGTTGTCCTTGATTCTTATCTGGTCATTCCTCCTGGGGAGAGCAGAACCCTGGGGGCTTGTAGAGTCATCTTCTCGGACCCACTGGGCCCCCTCAGGTCCTTGTACACCCTTTCAGAGCCTCGAGTCATAGGGCCAGTCCATGGCCCCAGTGAGCTCGTGGCCACAGCACCCACCATCAGCATGGCCCCAGGTTGGAGGCTCTGAGGGAGGAAGATATTTCTTAACCTTTTTGACCTTCACTTAACCACCCATCATGTACCCCTAAGAATCTGCTTGTGATTCTCCCACCAGCCAAGAAGGATCAGAGTTTTACTGAGTGAACTTTGTAAAATGCAAAGTTTTTCTCACTCCCCAAATTATAGTAGTGAGAATGGAGAGAAAAGTCTTTTCAGCAAGTGGTGCCCGAACAGCTGGGCGTCCACATGGAGGAAAGGTACGTAGACCCCTCCCTCACACCACGCACATTTATTCGGGATGCGTCACGGGTTTGACCAAGCACAAAACCCCAAACTAAAAAGCTTTCAGAAGAAAGAATAGGGGAACTTGGTGACCTGGAGGGAGACAAAGATTTCTTAGACACCCTGTAAAAGAAAAAACCGACAAATACACTGTTGCAGATGTTTTATTACAAACACATGTCTCTGGGTGGGGGGGGCAAGTTGGACCTGCTAATTTCTCCCACTACCAACATCATGGCCGGGGGGGCCTATGTTGCACAGATGAAGAAACTGAGGCCCAGCGGGACAGAGTCTGGTGTTGGCCAGGCTTCAGGGTGTCTGCAACTCCCGACTTGCCTCAACCCCAGCTGTTTATTTTTTTTTAATTTTTTAAAGATTTTATTTATTTATTTGACAGAGAGAGACACAGCAAGAGCGGGAACACAAGCAGGGGGAGTGGGAGAGAGAGAAGGAGGCTTCCCACTGAGCAGGGAGCCCCAAGCAGGGCTCGATCCCAGGACCCTGGGATCATGACCTGAGCGGAAGGCGGACTCTTAACCATTGAGCTACCCAGGTGCCCCGTCCCCAGCTGTTTAGAGAGATCCCTGAGCCCCCTACATCTGAGGCCCCTACTCCCCCCTGTGACTGTGGGGGCTTCAAGGGCTGCCTCTGTTGCAGGAAAGACGACATCACAGGCTACTTCCCATCCATGTACCTACAGAAGTCCGGGCAGGATATAGCCCAGGCCCAACGCCAGATCAAGAGCCGAGGGGCACCGCCCCGCAGGTGAGCGAGGGTCCGGGACTGGACGGGCCTGAGGAGGAGGTACGACGGGTCCCCTCTGTCGGTCCAGGCCCTGGATTGGCAGTGCTGGGGAGGGGGCTGTGGACGGGGGCTCCCCAGCAGGCGGGGTAGACAGCACCCTCAATGGATCGAGGCAGGACGTGCCTTCCCACGTCGTGGGGCTGGCACGGGGGCGGTGGGACAGCAGGGGCGTGAGGTAGAGGTGAAGACGTCGATGCCGGGCGTCCTTGGGGACGGCCCACGAGGGCTGCAGCAGTCCAGAGGGCTTCCTGGGGAGGGGCCGGGCTGAAGGCTGGCGAGGGGCGTGGGAAATGGACCTGGGCTCTGCCACCCAGGAGTCCGTGTTGGCGCGGGGGAGTGGCATGCATGGTCCGCCCCGTCGTGCGGGGTCCCCGCCCCGCTCCGCACTGTCCCGGGCCAGTCGTTGGACCCCAGCGCCTGTCATGCGCGTCCCCGCAAGCAGGGACGCGGGCGCAGCGGGGACGGCCGGGCGCTGAGCAACGCCCCCGTCCCGCTGCGCCCAGGTCGTCCATCCGCAACGCGCACAGCATCCACCAGCGGTCGCGGAAGCGCCTCAGCCAGGACACCTATCGGCGCAACAGTGTTCGTTTTCTGGAGCAGCGTCGACGCCAAGGGCGGCCGGGACCGCGGAGAGCGAGGAGCCCGCGCCGTGAGTGCGGGCGGTGCCCGGGGGCGGGGCGGGGCTCCCCGGGGCGGGGCCGGGAGAACGGGGCGTGGCCATGGGCGTGGTCAGGCGTGCCCGGGCCCGCGGAGGGCCGCCAGCCCGCGCGGTGAGTGCCGGCAGCGGCCTGGGGGCGGGCTTTCTTGGGGCGGGGCCTTGAAGACGGGGCGGGGCTAGAAGCGGGGCCAGGGGCGGCCCGGGCCGCCCTTGTGCTGGGAGCCCGCGGCGTGAGTGTCCTTAGCGGTCTGGAGGCGGGGCTTTCCGGGGCGGGGCCTGGGTGGTGAGGGGGTGGGGCCTGAGGGGTGGGGCGGGGCCTCTCACCCGGCCTCGCTTTCCGCGGTAGGGGAGCAGCCTCAGACCGAGAGCGCAAAGCCACAGCCCGCGGTGCCCCCGCGGCCCAGCGCGGACCTCATCCTGCACCGCTGCAGCGAGAGCACCAAACGGAAGCTGGCGTCCGCCGTCTGAGGCCGGGCCGCCTCCCCTAGATGGCGTCCTGGCCTCTCCGCCCTGTCCCGCCCCATCCTTGTATACACGTGTATAGATCCAGAAGTCTGGATGCCTCCGGCAGTCCCGGCCTCCCCGGCTAACTATTCAGCGCTCTCAATAAATGTTGCTTGGAGTGGACAGAGGTCCTGCAGAGCAGCCGGGCGGGCTGGGCTGGGCTGGGCTCGCCCTTGGGGGTGTTTATAGAATTAGGACTGAGGGCTGTGAGTTCTGCTGGGGCAGGAGGTTGGGGGAAGTTGCAAGAACCAAGGTCCGGTTGCACACTGCCCTGGCCTTGGCCGAGACTAAGTTTGCACGGGACCAAATGCAATAGGAATCCCCCGCACCAACCCCCCTCCCCCCCCCCGCGCTGGCTGTTTGGACAGAAGCTGCCTGCTAAAACTTTGGTCCCACTGAAGATGAGTTCTGAAGAAGGGTGCCACAGCGCGCGGCGTGTGCACCCTAGTTCGGTGACAAAGAAAAATTGTCATCTAGGTATAGGGAGGGAGCACCTCTGATTATTCGCTGCCCAGTTACGAGGTTGTAGCAGAAAGCAATTACTCATTCATGAACAGACCCTCACCGCCCCCACCAGCCCTACTGCCAGACCATGGCTCAAAGTCTTTGTTGCCGGTGGATCTTTTGCAAAATGCAAAGACACCAACCAGGGTGCAACCTGGAGCTGCAAATCTTGCTAAAGCGGCACCGTATCAGGAAGGCGGTGGGTGGCAGCTACCCCACCTATGTGGGAGGTGGCACAAGCGGCCAAGGCTGGTTCCTTCGAGATAAGGGGACTGATGCTTCTCAAGAGAATAATTTGACCAGCGCAACGATTGAAAGAGGCCTTGAGAACACCACTGGGCCCTTTGTTTGCTTTTTGCACACTCAGTTTGCTGGAAAAATCCAGCCCCTCAAACGCTATCATGCAAAGCTGTGGGAGAATTAATCACCGACCATCCCAACCCCTTTGCTTGTTCAGTTGCAAGTATAATTAAAAAAACAAACTGTGTGAGATAAAATACTGATTTTCATAATTTTTAGTTTCATTTTTTCCAAGCTAAGGTCCCGATCCAACGTTTTCCTCACATTTTTCTGCATTTCTGGTCCCCTGGAGGTGGCCCTGCGCTGGCCCCACTGTTTCCTGCTGAGGAGGAGGCCCGGATGGTGCGGATGGTGCGTGGGCCTGAGGGCCGGGGGCCTGCCCCGGGGGCCTCTGCTGTCCCCTCAGGGGAGCCAATAGAGAGCACCGGGCAGGCATGCCTGGAGGGGCCTGCGTCTGAGTTATGGCTGCAGTGTGTGTGCAGACGATTTTCTTGAGGCTAGGCACAATGCTGGGCTCTTTCTTTACCTTTTTCTGGTTTGAGAACAACCCTGGCAGGTAGGTCTATGGTGGAGGAAACCAAGCTTCAGAAAATGTAAGCAAGTTTTTAGGGTAATATGTCAAGTGGGTGACAGAGCTTTTTCTTTTTGGTTCCAAAGCCCTACTAGATCCATTACATTCTCCTGACCCCGCAGAGTTCCTGCTCTGTGGCTCAGTCCAAGTGGCAGGTGCTATGGCCAATGGGCGCCCCGAGGAGGGAGGTGACAGGGGCCTGGCTTCCAGAGCTCCAACCCCCCACCCCCACCCCAGGCCTGTGTTGGAGGAGTGACCAGTGTCCTCTGTCCACCCTGGGATAGGAAGACAGGGCCTTGGGGAAAATGCTGTGTACTCTTTGCTCCTAGAAACTGATGGGGACCACCAAATACAGCCCTTGGCTCCTGGCCTGGGCCCCACCACCCTGCTCCTAAGCGCTCTCATTTGCAGACACCCCATCAGTCGACGACCCCAGAAAACCACCTGCTTGCTCAGTAGTTCTCCCAGGCTTGGCTCTGTCATCTGAGTGACGGTGCCGGGCCACCACGGTCCCAACACACTTGCCCGATAAAGAAGGAAGCCGTAGGAGTTGGTTCAAAGCAGAACAGCCCATGAATAGTCGGGTCACAGAAGGCAGCCCAGGCTGGACCCTGCTGTCCCCTCAGCATCATCCGATGGGCTAACCACCAGAAAGCCACACATGACAGCCTCCTGTCATGGAATAACACGGACTTAGGAGTCACACAGACCTAGTTTGAATCCTGACCCCGTCTCCGCTGTTACCTTGGCAGCTCACTTAATCACTCTGAGCCCTAGCCCTCCGTCTATCACATGAGGGGGCTGACCTTTCCCTGCAGAGTCCACACGGCGACCTCTGATACTCAGTGTCGGCATCTGCTCAGGTGCACCAGGGGTGGGTCTCCCCTGACCCCGTGGTAAACCAGCCCATTCCTCCCCGCAGGGAGTGAGCCTCTGAGCTAGCCAGACCCAGCTGTACCTGCAGTCCACCCCCCAAGGACAGGAACAGCCAGGGTGGGGTCATTTTCCCTGTGTCTGAGGACATGCCTTGGGGCTTCAGCTGGGGGCAGGTGCCTGGCGCAGGAAACCGCCTGGAGGTTGGTCTCTTTCTCCTGCAGCCTGCCTTCATTTTTATCAAAGTGTTTTGTCCATTGCTGCCTGAATGGGTCATCACCAGGTCGGGATCTTTAGCCTTTTTGTTCCCTAGTCAGATTAATTCCTCCAACCTGGAAAGTATTCACAATTTGGGGTCATTAATTCCAGTGGCTAATACAGATTAAGAACACTGTGTGTGTGTGTGTGTGTGTGTGCGCGTGTGTGTGTGCGTGCGCTCGCGCTTTCAAATGCCAGCTCTCCGGGAGTTAAGTGCTATAAAGGGAAGGACATCAGGACAGTCTCCGAGGGACTGTCCCCAGCTTGCAAACATGTTAGAACACAAGGGACACCATGCACAGTGTCATTTATGCTAAACGAGATCAAAGTATTACATCAGTGTTCGATTTACTGGAGCTGGTCACTAAGTAAGTCATGGTTAGAGAATATCCTTATTCTTGGAAAATATTCCCTAACATAGTCAGGGGGAAAGGATGTATGTAACCCCCTCAAATGGTTCAGAAAAAAAAAAATTAGGCGCATGCATTTATACACACATTATACTCAGACATTCAGGTATACAGGCCCACAGGCAACGTGGTACACACACACACACACACACACACACACACAAACACGCGTGCACACACGAGAGAGAGAAGAAGGCCAAGCAAACAAGGGATAGAGCATAGGGGTAAAATTTCAATGAGAATTTGCCAAGAGGACATGTAAGTGTTCTTCATACCTTTCTCATTTCCGCAACTTCTCTGTAAATTTGAAATTATTTCAAAATACAGTTTATTTATTTCTTAAGTCATCACCGCACCCAACATGGAGCTCAAACTCACCACCCAGAGATCAAGAGTCAGATGCTCTACTGACTGAGCCAGCCAGGCGCCCCTCAAAAAAAAAGTTTACCAAAAAAAAAAAAAACCGAAACAACCTCCAAACCTCAGCTGCCTTGGCCTTTGAAAGCTCATGTTATTTGTTATCTGGAGTTCTCCCTTTTCAACTTCTACTTTCGTGGGTTGGCCGGGAGGCAGAGACAGATCACACAGGGGTACTATGGTTGGTGAATGTGTCTCCAAGGGACTGTCCCCGGCCTTGCAAACATGTTAGATCACAGGGGACACCACGCAGAAAGTGGGCAGACAGATGTGTGTGCATTTACCCTCCTCCACGAACACACACCTCGCTCTCTCTGTTTCTCTGTTGGCTGATTTAAAACTTCAGCGTGCTGGCCTCAGGGGTGAGTGAAACCCGCCAGCCATAAGGAGAAGCAACCACCAGAAATACAATAAAACGGTCTTGATCTTTACTGGACTATGGTGAGGCATAAAATGTCATACAAACGGGTAGGATACTGCAAGTTACATTTCCGAGTCAAAGTGGAAAAAACTGAAAAACAGAAAGTTTATAACTCGTCTTCTCATCTTGCAATCCCTGGGGCCCAGAGGATTCTCCTCTTGCACCGCCCTGTGTTGTAAGTCATGTTGCGATGTGGAGCATGGAATCCCACTGCGAGTCCTTTAACTGCGAGCAGTATTTCGTTTTGCTCAGTTTCATAATGGAAAACAGCTGTTCGCAAATGTAGGTGCTCCCGAACATGGAGAGAATCTTTGCGCAGTGGATTCTGTACTTCGGGTAGCTACTCCACAGATATTTGTAGAACTCGGGGACCCCGACCTTGTCGTATTTAGTCTTTAGCACCGTGTTGCACTGCAGGTCAATGACCTCCATCTGGAGCGCCTCGTGCACGTTCTCGATCTTCACCGAGAAAGGGGAGCTGAACAGGGTCAGGTCACTTTCATAGAGTTTGAAATCGGACAACCTCTTCTGGAACTCGGTCTTCAGTTCCACGATTTTGGGAATGTAGTTCAGGCCGTCGCTTTCATTTCTGGAAACCGACTTCAGCGTGGGGAAGTGGGCCAGGTTATTCCTCGCCAAGTGAGTTTCCCAAAGGCACAGTTTGGCTAGGAACGCCCGGATCAGGTCGTACATCTGCGTGACGACCTGTGAGTGCCCTTGGAGCGAGATGTTCAAAGTGTTCAGATGCATTGTCATATCGACCAAGAAGGCCAAGTCTCTGATCCAATCTTGAGAGCTCAGCTGAGGCAGGGGCTTCCCTCTGGACGACATGAAGGAATCAATTTCTTCCAACGATTCAAAAAATCTCTTGAGCACCAGCCCGCGACTGAGCCACTTAATCTCGGTGTAGTAGAGCAGGCTGCCATATTGGCTGTCCAGTTCATACAGCAAGGTCGTGAACTCACTGTGGTTCAGCCCACGGGAGCATATCCAGTTCACGGAGTTAACCACCACACTCATGACGTGGTCCATCTTCAACTTTTGCGCACAAAGCGATTCCGGGTGAATGATGCAACAAACCGACTTCAGATCCGAGTCCTTGCAAATCATGGCCACCTTGGACTTAAGTTTCGTCACCAGCCCGTCGTTCACATCGACCATGGCGGGGGTGCCCGTAGAGGCCACGCTGACCAGTTTTGACCAGTCAATATTAAACTTCTTCAGACTCTTCTCGACACGCAGAAATATCTCGTTGCCAGATTTTGTACCTGTCATGGGCACCGTATCCAAGAGCTCTTCCGACACATCGAAATTCTCGTCAACGCCTCGGATGAATATGGCCAGCTGGGTGGTATTATTGATATCCGTGATCTCATCGATTGCGATAGAGTATGCCACGAACGACTTGATTTTTTCGCGTAACTTCTCCCATAAGTTCCCAGCCATGTCTTCTATGGGTTGCACGGCCGCAGTTTCATTTGGGCTCACATTTGCAAACGCCTGTTTCTGCTCGGGGCCCACGATCTCGGATGACCCCAGGAGGTACTTCCTGAGTCCTTTCTTCAGCTCGTGGAGCTTTTCGTCCCGCATCTTCTCGGTATACTGGTCGTAGTGCTTGCTGTGGTTCGTTTGATAATGACGCCGGAGGTTGTACTCTTTGGACACAGACATGCTTTGTTTGCATATTAAACACGTAGGAATATTCTGCACTTCCACGAAGAAATACGCTCTCTCCCACTTCTCTTGAAAGACACGGCCCTCCTGGTCTATCTTTCTTTTTCCCACTTTTGATAGAGACATGGAGACAAGAAATATTTCACTTTTTCTCTTTACTATATGAAAAACGACAGCAAAAACGTGATGATAAACGTCAGGGGTAAAGCGGCTGGGTTGGGGGGGTATGGTTAACCCACCCCTGCAGAGAGAGATGGCTGACTCTCAGCTCCAGCAACAGGCTGCTGGAGGGAATGTGGGATCTGGGGCCAGATCTTCAGATTCCAAGAAAACTTAGAAATTGACTTTTTTTTTTTAAGGTAAACTCTACGCCACACGTGGGGCTCGAACTCAGAACCCTGAGATCAAGAGTCACTTGCTCTACCCACTGAAAACGTCCCTGGCTTTTCTTTCTTTTTCTTGAAAATGTCCCTGGCTTTTCAATGTTGGCCACTCTTTTCCATTTCTAAAGGTACACTAGCCCAATGAAAGGCATCTTTTGTGATTCAGCAAGTACCTATGTTTGCCCCATCTGCTTTAAGCAAGAATGATCTGGCAGTATGTTTGCATTTTAATGTATATTTTTTCATTTGTGTCTCAAGAGAACTTTGAAGTAACAGGGAAGGGGGATGACCACAAAAGGCGTGTGATTTACCTGCTGTGAGGCGCAAGGGCCTTGGTCATAGCCACAGAACTGCACAAAACTCACTTGTTTTAAATTTAAAGAAATCTGACCACGAAGCAGATAAGAGCTCTACTTGGAGGGAAGACAGGTCTAAACATTCACTTTAAGAAAATGTGGGCAGGAGGCGGAGCAAGATGGTGGACGAGTAGGAGACCTGGATTTCATCTGGTCTCAGGAATTCAGCTGAATAGGGATCAAACCATTCTGAACACCTACGAACTCAATAGGAGATCGAAGAGGAGAGTAGCAACAACTCTCTGAACAGAGAAGCGACCACTTACTGGAAGGTAGGACGTGCGGAGAAGTGATTCCGAGGCGATATTCGGGAGGATAGATGGCGGGGGAGGGGGCCTCCGTCGGCCGCTTCTGGCAAGTGATAGAACCGCGGAGCACAAAATCGGACCTTTTAGAAGTCGGCTCCGCTGAGGGACGTCGCTCCAGTGGCTAAGCGGGGGGTGGAACCCTCGCGGGACAGTGTGGTCTCAGGACCCTCGGGGTCACAGAAAGACCGGGGGGTGCCTGAGTGCGCCAGAGCTCCCAGGGATCGGAGCGGGGAAGCCGGCTGCAGAGACGGAGCCGAGGCGCGGGCTCTCAGCTCGGGGTGGCCATAAACTGTGATCCGTGGCCCACTTGGGCCACTGCTCCTCCAGCGGGGACCCAACAAGCAGCAGAGCCTGGGAGACTCCCCTCCCTCCCCCGGGGAGGAGCGGCGCGGGAGCGCACCACAGGGATCTGCTGGGTTTGGAGACTCCATGCGGGGTCGGGAGCCAGAGATACAAACGCTCGGTCACAGGCCGGGTGAGCACAGAGTGCGGCCGGAGACCAGGGACACGGGAGTGACTGCTTTTCTCTGGGGGTGCACTGAGGAGCGGGTCCCCAAGTTCTCAGCTCCTCCGGGTGGAGATTGGGAGGCCACCATTTTCACCCTGGTCCTCCAGAGCTGTGCCGAGAGCTTGCAGGGAACAAAAGCTCCCGAGAGCAAACCCGAGCAGCTTGCTTAGCCCGGACTGACAAGGGCGGGGCAATTCCGCCTCCGGCAAAGACATTTGGGAACCACGGCAACAGGCCCCTCCCCCAGATGATCAGCACGAACAGCCAGCAAGCCAAGACCAAGTTTACCGATCAAGGAGAATGGGAGAACTCCAGCGCTGGGGGAATACTGCACATAGAATTCATGGCTTTTTTTTACCATGATTCTTTAGTCTTTCAAAGTTAATTTTTTAACTGTTTTTTTTTTTGAATTTTTCTTTTTCCCCTTTTCAACCAACATCTTATCAATCCCTTTTTAAAAAAAAAACATTTTTATTTTTCATTTTTAGAGTCATATTCTATCCCTTCATAGTAGTTACCCTTATTTTTGGCATATATATAAGTTGTTCTCTCTTTAAGATTTTGAGATACAGTTTCTTCTAACAGATCAAAATACACCCTAAATCTCTAGTGTATGGCTTTGTTCTAGTCTCCTGCCTGATCACAGTCTCTCCCCTTTTTCTTTCTTTCTTTCTTTCTTTTCTTTTAATCCTCTTCTTTATTTTTTCAAGCACCTTATCAATTCCTTTTATAAAATCTTTTATAATTTTCATCTTTACAGTCATCTTCCATCCCTTCATCGTATTTACCCTTATTTTGTACATATATGTCTTTCTTTCTTTAAAATTTTAGGAGGCACTTTCTTCTAACAGACCAAAATACACCCCAAATCTAGTGTGTGGCACTGATCTATGCACCAGCCTGATCATATTTGATCATATTGTTTTTTGTTTTGTTTTGTTCTGTTTTTTGTTTGTTTTTATCTTTTTCTTTTTTTTTCCTCTTTCTTTTTTCTTTCTTTCCCTTTCTTTTCCCCTGGTTTCAGGTCTTTTCTGGTTTGTTTAGAGTATGTTTTCTGGGGACGTTGTTAACCTGTTAGCAGTTTGTTCTCTCATTCATCTATTCTCCTCTGGACAAAATGACAAGACAAAAAAAATCACCTCAGCAAAAAGAACACGAGGTAGTACCGTCAGCCAGGGACCTACTCAATACGGACATTAGTACGATGTCGGACCTAGAGTTCAGAATCATGATTTTAAAGATACTAGCTGGCTTGAAAAAAGCATGGAAGTTATTAGAGAAACCCTTTCTGGAGAAATAAAAGAACTAAAATCTAACCAAGTCGAAATCAAAAAGGCTATTCATGAGGTGCAATAAAAAATGGGGGCTCTAACTGCTAGGATAAATGAGGCAGAAGAGAGAATCAGCGATATAGAAGACCAAATGATGGAAAATAAAGAGGCTGAGAAAAAGAGAGATAAACAACTACTGGATCACGAGGGCAGAATTCGAGAGATAAGCGATACCATAAGACAAAACAACATTAGAATAATTGGGATCCCAGAAGAAGAAGAAAGAGAGAGAGGGGCAGAAGGTATATTGGAGCAAATTATAGCAGAGAACTTCCCTAATGTGGGGAAGGAAACAGGCATCAAAATCCAGGTGGCACAGAGAACCCCTCTCAAAATCAATAAAAATAGGTCAACATCCCGACATCTCATAGTAAAACTTACGAGTCTCAGAGACAGAGAAAATCTTGAAAGCAGCTTGGGAGAAGAGATATATAACCTATAATGGTAGAAACATTAGATTGGCAAGAGACCTATCCACAGAGACCTGGCAGGCCAGAAAGGGCTGGCATGATATCTTCAGGGCACTAGACGAGAAAAATATGCAGCCAAGAATACTATATCCAGCTAGGCTGTCATTGAAAATAGAAGGAGAGATAAAAAGCTTCCAGGACAAACAAAAACTAAAGGAATTTGCAAACACGAAACCAGCCCTCCAAGAAATATTGAAGCGGGTCCTCTAAGTAAAGAGAGAGCCTAAAAGCAGCATAGACCAGAAAGGAACACAGCCAATATACAGTAACAGTCACCTTACAGGCAATACAATGACACTAAATTCATATCTTTCAATAGTTACCCTGAATGTAAATGGGCTCAGTGCCCCAATCAAAAGACATAGGCTATCAGATTGGATGAAAAAACAAGACCCATCGATATGCTGTCTGCAAGAGACTCATTTTAGACCCAAAGACACCCCCAGATTGAAAGTGAGGGGGTGGAAAACCATTTACCATGCTCATGGACACCAAAAGAAAGCTGGGGTGGCAATCCTTATATCAGACAAATTAGATTTTAAAACAAAGACTGTAATAAGAGATGAGGAAGGACACTATATCCTACTTAAAGGGTCTATCCAACAAGAAGATCTAACAATTGTAAATACCTATGCCCCTAACATGGGAGCAGCCAATTATATAAGGCAATTAATAACAAAAGCAAAGAAACACATTGACAACAATACAATAATAGTGGGGGATTTTAACACCCCCCTGACTGAAATGGACAGATCATCTAAGCAAAAGATCAACAAGGAAATAAAGACTTTAAATGACACACTGGACCAAATGGACTTTAGAGACATATTCAGAACATTCCATCCCAAAGCAACAGAATACACATTCTTCTCTAGTGCCCATGGAACATTCTCCAGAATTGATCACATCCTAGGTCACAAATCAGATCTCAACTGGTACCAAAAGATTGGGATTATTCCCTGCATATTTTCAGACCACAACGCTTTGAAACTACAACTCAATCACAAGAGAAAAGTTGGAAAGAACTCAAATACATGGAGGCTAAAGAGCATCCTGCTAAAGAATGAATGGGTCAACCAAGAAATTAAAGAAGAATTAAAAAAAATTCATGGAAACCAATGAAAATGAAAACACAACTGTTCAAAATCTTTGGGATACAGCAAAGGCAGTCCTGAGAGGAAACTATATAGCAATACAAGCCTTTCTCAAGAAACAAGAAAGGTCTCAAATACACAACCTAACCCTACACCTAAAGGAGCTGGACAAAAAAACAGCAAATAAAGCCTAAACCCAGCAGGAGAAGAGAAATCATTAAGATGAGAGCAGAAATCAATGAACTAGAAACCAAAAGAACAGTAGAACAGATCAACGAAACTAGGAGCTGGTTCTTTGAAAGAATTAACAAGATTGATAAACCCCTGGCCAGACTGATCAAAAAGAAAAGAGAAATGACCCAAATCAACAAAATCATGAATGAAAGAGGAGCGATCACAATCAACACCAAAGAAATACAAACAATTATAAGAACATATTATGAGCAACTCTATGCCAGCAAATTAGATAACCTGGAAGAAATGGGTGCATTCCTAGAGATGTATCAACAACCAAAACTGAACCAGGAAGAAATAGAGAACCTGAACAGACCTATAACCACTAAGGAAATTGAAGCAGTCATCAAAAATCTCCCAAGAAACAAAAGCCCAGGGCCAGATGGCTTCCCAGGGGAATTCTACCAAACATTTAAAGAATTAATACCTATTCTCTGGAAACTGTTCCAAAAAATAGAAATGGAAGGAAAACTTCCAAACTCATTTTAGGAGGCCACCATTACCTTGATCCCCAAACCAGACAAAGACCCCATCAAAAAGGAGAATGACAGACCAATATCCTCGATGAACATGGATGCAAAAATTCTCACCAAAATACTAGCCAATAGGATCCAACAGTACATTGAAAGGATTATTCACCATGACCATGTGGGATTTATCCCTGGGCTGCAAGGCTGGTTCAACATCTGCAAATCAATCAACGTGATACAATACATTAACAAAAGAAAGAACAGGAATCATATGATCCTCTCAAAAGATGCAGAAAAAGCATTTGACAAAGTACAGCATCCTTTCTTGATCAAAACTCTTCAGAGTATAGGGATAGAGGGTACATACCTCAATATCATAAAAGCCATCTATGAAAAACCTACAGCGAATATCATTCTCAATGGGGAAAAGCTGAGAGCCTTTCCCCTAAGGTCAGGAATGTGGCAGGGATGTCCACTCTCACCACTGCTATTCAACATAGTATTAGAAGTCCTAGCCACAGCAATCAGACAACAAAAAGAAATCAAAGGCATCCAAATCGGCAAAGAAGAAGTCAAACTCTCACCCTTTGCAGATGATATGATACTTTATGTGAAAAACCCAAAGACTCCACCCCAAAACTGCTAGAACTCATACAGGATTTCAGTAAAGTGGCAGGATATAAAATCAATGCACAGAAATCAGTTGTTGGTATACACCAACAACAAGACAGAAGAGAGACAAATCAAGGAGTTGATCCCACTTACAATTGCACCCAAAACCATAAGATATCTAGGAATAAATCTAACCAAAGAGGCAAAGGATCTGTACTGAGAAAACTATAACTATAGTTATAGTTGTTTGTTGAAAGAAATTGAGGAAGACGCAAAGAAATGGAAAAACGTTCCATGCTCATGGATTGGAAGAACAAACATTGTGAAGAAGTCAATGCTACCTAGAGCAATCTACACATTCAATGCAATCCCCATCAAAGTACCATCCACTTTTTTCAAAGAAATGGAACAAATAATCCTAAAATTTGTATGGAACCAGAAGAGACCCCGAATAGCCAGAGGAATACTGAAAAAGAAAAGCAAAGCTGGCGGCATCACAATTCCGGACTTCCAGCTCTATTACAAGCTGTCATCATCAAGACAGTATGGTACTGGCACAAAAACAGACACATAGATCAATGGAACAGAATAGAGAGCCCAGAGATGGACCCTCAACTCTATGGTCAACTCATCTTTGACAAAGCAGGAAAGTATGTCCAATGGAAAAAAGACAGTCTCTTCAACAAATGGTGTTGGGAAAATTGGACAGCAACATGCAGAAGAATGAAACTGGAATATTTCCTTACACCACACACAAAAATAGACTTCAAATGGTTGAAAGACCTCAGTGTGAGACAGGAGTCCATTAAAATCCTAAAGGAGAACACAGGCAGCAACCTCTTCGACCTCAGCCACAGCAACTTCTTCCTAGAAACATCGCCAAAGGCAAGGGAAGCCAGGGCAAAAATGAACTATTGGGATTTCATCAAGATAAAAAGCTTTTGCACAGCAAAAGAAAACAGTCCACAAAACCAAAAGACAACCTACAGAATGGGAGAAAATATTTGCAAATGACATATCAGATAAAGGGCTAGTATTTAAAATCTATAAAGAACTTATCAAACTCAACACCCAAAGAACAAATAATCCAATCAAGAAATGGGCAGAAGACATGAACAGACATTTTTCCAAAGAAGACATCCAAATGGCCAACAGACACATGAAAAAGTGCTCCACATCGCTCGGCCTCAGGGAAATCCAAATCAAAACCTCCATGAGATACCACCTCACACCCGTCAGAATGGCTAGAATTAACAAGTCAGGAAACGACAGATGTTGGCAGGGATGCGGAGAAAGGGGAACCCTCCTACACTGTTGGTGGGGATGCAAGCTGGTGCAGCCACTCTGGAAAACAGTATGGAGGTTCCTCAAAAAGTTGAAAGAGCTACCATACGATCCCGCAATTGCACTACTGGGTATTTACCACAAAGATACAAATGTTGGGATCCAAAGGGGTACGTGCACCCCGATGTTTATAGCAGCAATGTCCACAATAGCCAAACTGTGGAAAGAGCCAAGATGTCCATCGACAGATGAATGGATAAAGAAGAAGTGGTAGGTATACGCAAGGAATATTATGCAGCCATCAAAAGGAATGAGATCTTGCCATTTGCAACGACGTGGATGGAACTGGAGGGTGTTATGCTGAGTGAAATAAGTCCATCAGAGAAAGACATGTATCATATGACCTCACTGATATGAGGAATTCTTAATCTCAGGAAACAAACTGAGGGTTGCTGGAGTGGTGGGGGGTCAGAGGGATGGGGTGGCTGGGTGATAGATATTGGGGAGGGTATGTGCTATGGTGAGCGCTGTGAATTGTGCAAGACTGTTGAATCACAGATATGTACTTCTGAAACAAATAATGCAATATATGTTAAGAAAAAAAAGAAGAAGAAGAAGATAGCAGGAGGGGAAGAATGAAGGGGAGTAAATCGGAGGGGGAGACGAACCATGAGAGATGATGGACTCTGAAAAACAAACTGAGGGTTCTAGAGGGGAGGGGCATGGTGGCATGGGTTAGCCTGGTGATGGGTATTAAAGAGGGCACGTTCTGCGTGGAGCACTGGGTGTTATGCACAAACAATGAATCATGGAACACTACATCAAAATCTAATGATGTAATGTATGGTGATTAACATAACAATAAAAAATTTAAAGAAAAAAATGTGGGCAGAGGGGCCGCCTGGGTGGCTCAGTCGTTAAGTGGCTGCCTTCTTTCTGCTCAGGTCATGGTCCCAGGGTCCTGGGATCGAGCCCCGCATCGGGGTCCCTGCTCCGTGGGAAGCCTGCTTCCCCCTCTCCCACTCCCCCTGCTTGTGTTCCCTCTCTTGCTGTGTCTCTTTCTGTCAAATAAATAAATAAAATCTTTAAAAAAAATGTGGGCAGAGACAAGAAAGTAAGTCAATTCAGTGGTTGTCTGGGGCTGGGGGCAGGAACAGGAAATGAGAGAAAAATGGGTAGGAGGGATCTTTTGGGGGGTGATGGAAACATCCTAATATTAGATTGTGGTGACAGTTTGCCGAACTCTGTAAATTTATTAAAAATCCCTGACAGGTGTATACCTCACACAAGGGAATTTTATGGTATGTAACTCGTGCCTCAATAAAGCTACAAAAAAAAAAAAAAAAAAGAAAGAAAGAAAGAAAGAAAAAGAAAACCGTTCAGCAACAAGATGAGTTTAGGAAGAATAATCAATCGGGCATTTTCAAAGAATATTTTAGTTTTTCCAACTTGAACTGAGGAGGCGCCCTAGTGACTCAGACTCCCGAGAACATCCCTACATCTGCTTTACTCACCCCACAGGATGCTGATGACTTGCTTGCAATGACTCCGGGGGCCACGTTCAGAATACTGAACAGGCGCAGTGGACAGGGCATTGCTCAGTCAGAACAGACGTTGACCTCAGCACCGGAGGGGGTCCTGGGAGCCCCTTCTGTGCCAGGTGGCACCCTTTAGGCTCTGAACTGGGGGGAGATCGGGGCAGGCGGGGGCTGCTGGGGGGGTGTCCTGGGGGATGGAGCTGGGCTACCAGGCAGGAGCTATTAACCCACTGAGCTGGGCTAGTTCAGTAAAATGTTCCTAGCCCCCCACCCCTGCCATAAAGGGCTCCCAAATTCCAGTGTGCCAGCAAGCTCCTTCAAACTGTCGCATGAGAATTCTGGTGAAGCACCAGAATTTATAATGAGCAGGACAGATAAACTGCATCTAAAGAGCACCATGCTTTGCTCTAAGGCTCAAGGCTTGAGAAGCAAGGCCCCCTATGGGGAGGGCCTGCAAAGACATGTGGCCCCGCACAGTGGGTGCTGGGACGACTTTCCTGCCACCCACCCAGGATACTCACCATTGCTAAGCTCCAGGCCTGGAAGCGGTCTGAGGAGAAAGAGACACGATGAATGCAACAAAGTTCGTTTGTCCAGGGACACACAGCTCCCAGAAACGGGATACGAGACAAGGAGTGTGAGAGGCACTGGGCTTTGGAGCCCCACGGCCCACCTCCTGGTTAAAAAAAAAAAAACAACAAAAAAACCCAAAACCCACCGCGCCCCTCCCCCACCTCGATCAGGTGGCGACCTTCAGGTTCATTCTCATGACCAAGCAGGGAGCGCTCACCTACCTAATGACTGTGAATTTGATAAATTCTGCAGCGTCCAAGATCCTTCTCATGGAGCTGATTTCTAGGTAACCAGGGGCTTTGAAGACCACGCCCGGGGGCATGCCGTCGATAACCACACAGCCAGGGTTGAATGTGATCTTCCTGTAGGGAACTTTCACAGGGAAGTCCACCCCGATGGCTTCACCTGCGAGGAGACAAACAACAGAAGACCGCTTAAGTGTGTCACCTGCTTTTCCCAGACCAGTGCCGAGATGTTAAAATCCTTCCCGTCCAGTGACAACGTGGGCCATTGGCCATTGTTACTTCACGGACAGTCTTACTGACTTTGACATTGGCAACGGGCAGTAAAACAGATTCAATTTCTCTCTCCAGGAAGGAGAAACGATGCTGGCATCTACCTGAAAAAGGGTTTTATGAAGATTAAATAATGATTTACATGTGAGTGCTGAAAGCAATGCTCAGCCATGGTAAGAACTTGGTAAATCAAAGTTAGATATTATTATTGCGATTAGTGTGTCCATGTAAAAGCTCTTCAGGAAAAATACACGCTGATTTTGATCATAGCTCCTTCCCCAGAAAGATCAATTTCTTTTTTTATATATAATTATTTTATTAAAAAAATTTTTTTAGTAAGCTCTACACCCAGCATGGGGCTCGAACTCACGACCCCTAGATCAAGAGTCGCACATTCTTCTGACTGAGCCAGCCAGGTGCCCCCAGAAAGATCAATAAAGTATTCCATTAAAAAGAAATACCTCAAATATATACATTTTGAATACGTAACAATATAAAAACTTACCAAATTTTCGGCTAAAGAGGTCATTGACTTGTTCCCTTAGTTGTTTTATCTTTTCAATGCTGGATAATCTTTCCTTCTCGTTATCTAAAAACAATTAGACAATCAAGCAGACTGGGGTTATTGATAAATTTACCTCCAAAAAAGCTGTTGGAGGAAGTGCCTGACAGCACCTGAAAAAAGCACTTCACCTGGCTTGTCATCCAGTTTAGTTTTTTGGAAATGTGCAAATGGACGCCATTAGAGATGACAGAGAATTCCCCAAATTATAAATCCATGTAAACACACTCCATACTACCTTAGGGAACATTTTCAACATTATGTAGGACCAGGATGTCCACTTTCACCTCTACTCTTCAACATTATAATAGCAATCTCAGTCAATGCAATATGACAAGTAAAAGGAAGAAGAGGTAGTAGGATTAGAAGGGAATATTTTTCAATACTTAACATTTTTATTGTATTTAATTTTGAATAACTAAAGCAATTACATGTTTCAAAACTCACAAGACCTAGAACAACGCACAGTGAAACATTTCTCTCACATCCCTCTCTCAGCTCTGTTTCCTTCCTTGGGGAAATTATGTTATCAGATTCTTTTGTATCTTTCCAGATATTTTATATACACATATTTAGAAAAGACTGCTTGATGGGCAGCAGATAAATTCCACCTCTGTGGCCAATTCTTATTTTTTTTTAAGATTTATTTATTTATTTGAAAGAGAGAGAATGAGAGAGAGAGAGAGCGCGCACACATGAGAGGGGGGAGGGTCAGAGGGAGAAGCAGACTCCCCACTGAGCAGGGAGCCTGATGCGGGACTCGATCCCGGGGCTCCGGGATCATGACCTCAGCCAAAGGCAGTCGCGTAACCAACTGAGCCACCCAGGCGCCCCGGCCAATTCTTATTTAATGGGAGCTGGTGCTTGGAGTTGTCTGCCCTGAGGTGTATTTTCTAGTAATGCCAAGGCATGGCTGTGATAAGTAATATATCTGATTAACGATCTCTGAGATAAGCAAGATATTCAGTGTCTGACAATCTGTAGTGTATTTTATATTCCTGAATTGTCATTTCTTAGTTGAAAGGGTAAACTAAGCAAAAAAAATAAAGTTCCAAGGGTTTATGACCCATGTTATATAATGGTTAAAATATAACAAAAAGAAAAGTATATAGTCAATTATGATAACACCAGATAGACTTCCATACCTGGAATTGTCACCTGAACAATGTTAAGATCTTCCACACCTGCCGCAGAATTTGTAATACTGGATGAATTTGTGCTTCCTAAAAACAGAAACTGAAATTTAGAACTTAAAGAAAATTAGGTTAATTCTCCTCTAAAAATGTCCATGTGCCACTCTGATCAGAGGCACAGACTCAACTTTTAAAGCTTTAGAGAACAGGGGCGAGTAGGTTGGGCTCCATGCTCAGTGCAGAGTCTGCTTAAGAGTCTCTCCTTCTCCCTCTGCCCCTCCGCCCTGCATGCTTTCTCTCTATCAAATAAATAAATAAATCTTTTAAAAAATAAAAGTGCTCATCTGGTTCCATATTCCATAAGCCATCATAATAACCGTTGTCAGATAAAGGACAAGAACACACCAACAGATGGGCTTCCAAATGTCACAGTCTGTTGCTAGAGGCATGGTCATTATCTACCAAATACTTTATAGTGAATCCTTTGGAAAACTGCTCTCCAGAACAAAAAGGTGATTGGGCTTGTAGTCCCTGTACATGCATGATGCCCCACAAGAGAAGAGCAGAGTGGAGAGGCCATCTTGGAGAACATTTCCATCAACCTGCATTCAAATCACTACTGGACTTGGATTCTAACATGGGATTCTTTATATTGTTTCTTTTTCTTCCTTTTTCTCGTTAAAATAGAGTGGACATTCAATGTTGAATTAGTTTCAGGTGTACAACATAGTGGTTTGACAAGTTATATTCTTTTTTTTTAACCCCCCCCTTTTAAAAGGATTTTATCTATTTATTTATTTGTCAAAGAGAGAAAGAGTGCAAGCAGGGTGAGGGGCAGAGGGAGAAGCCGACTCCCCGCTGAGCAGGGAGCCTGATGCAGGGCTCAATCCCGGGACTCCAGGATCGTGACCTGAGCCGAAGGCAGACGCTTAACCAACTGAGCCACCCAGGCGCCCTATTTTTAATTTTTTTTGAGTGAGAGAGCACACGAGTGCGCATGAGCGGGGGGGAGAGGGGCAGAGGGAGAGGGGGAGGGAAAGAGAGAATCCTAAGCAGGTTCCACGCTCAGCACGGAGCCCGACACAGGGCTCGATTTTACGACCCTGAGATGCCCCTGGAGATTTTAAGTGAAAGAAGCCAGGCCCCAAAGGGCACACATTGTACAATCCCACCTGTATGAAATATGTAGAAAAGGCAAATCCATACAGACAGAGAGTAGACGGGTGGGTACCGGGGGCTGGGGGAGGGAAGAACAGGAGGGACTGGTAGTGGGTATGCGATCTTCTTTTGGGGAGATGAAAATGTTTTCGAACTAGATAGAGGTGGTGGTTACCCAACACTGAGAATGTACAAAAGCTACTGAATCATTCACTCCAAAATGGTTAATTTTTAAAGAGTCTCTAAATAAAAACACTCCCAGGGCGCCTGGGTGACTTAGCCAGTTCAGCATCTGCCTTTGGCCCAGGTTATGATCTCAGGGTCCTGGGATCGAGCCCCAGGTCGGGCTCCCTGCTCAGTGGGGAGTTTGCTTTTCGACCCTGCCCCCTGCCCCCCACCCCTGCCCCTGCCCCTCCCCCGTGCTCTCGCTCTCTCAAATACATAGATAAAATCTTTTCTTTTTTTTTAAATTTTTTAAAGATTTTATTTATTTATCTGAGAGAGAGAGAATGAGAGATAGAGAGCACGAGAGGGAAGAGGGTCAGAAGGAGAAGCAGACTCCCTGCCGAGCAGAGAGCCCGATGTGGGACTCGATCCCGGGACTCCAGGATCATGACTTGAGCTGAAGGCAGTCGCTTAACCAACTGAGCCACCCAGGTGCCCACATAGATAAAATCTTTAAAAAAAAAATAAAAGGACTCCCATAGCAATTAAACAACATAAAGAAATGAAAGTCATCCAAATTGGTAAGGAAGAAGTAAAGCTCTCACTATTTGCAGACGACACGAGACTACATGTAGAAAACCCTAGACTCCACCGAAGAATTACTAGAACTGATAAATGAATTCAGTGAAGTCGCAGGATACAAAATCAACGATAGAAATCTGTTGCGTTCCCATACACTAATAATGAAGGAGCGGAAGTGAAATTAAGAAAACAATCCCATTTACAGTTGCACCAAAAACAATAAAAGAGCTAGGGATAAACTTAACCGAAGAAGTGAACGACCTGTACTCTGAAAACTAACACCGATGAAAGAGATTCAAGATGACACAAAAATGGACAGACGTTCCATGCTTATGGGTTGGAAGAACAAATATTGTTAAAAAGTCCGTACTACCCAGAGCACTCTACACATTCAGTGCAATCCCTATCAAAATATCAACAACATTTTTCACAGAACTAGAACAAATAATCCTAAAATTTGTATGGAATCCAAATAAAAGACCCCAAGTAGCCAAAGAAGTCTTGAAAAACAAAACATATACTTAATGACAGTAATTCTGAGATCCATAACATTAATAAATATGGAAAATAAAAACTTCTCCTTCTCATATTAGAGAGACACTAGGGACCAGCTCATATTCCAGCAGCAGAGATGAAAATATTTCTTAGCAAGGGCACCTGGGTGGCTCAGCAGGCTAAACGTCTGCCTTTGGCTCAGGTCATGATCACGGGGTCCTGGGATCGAGCCCCGAATTGGGCTCTCTGCTCAGTGGGGAGTCTGCTCCCTCTCCCTCTGCCCCTTCTCCCTGCTTGTGTTCTCTCTCTCTCAAATAAATAAATAAAATCTTAAAAAAAAGAAAATATTTCTTAGCAGATGACCAAGTGGATCACAATGAAAGAAAATAGGCACATTCTTTCAACTAAATGGGTTCAAAATCCACAAGTTCCAGGATCAATGGTGTCATTCATTTCTATGAAAAGTCAAAAATGTTTTAAAAACCTTTCAACTGTAAAGAATATCCTTAGAATATGTTTGTAACTATCGGATGTGGTTTTTAAACAGACATCCAAACAAACACCAAACAGATTACACGTCAGTCTGTCAGTCTTTTAAAGAAAATTATCTTACATAGTGGCTCTTAAAAAATAAATCTTGCTAAAACCACACTTTGAACTTGACTTCCTTTAGATCCTTGCAGTTAAACTGAGTTCATGGCTTCTAGGCCCTGGTCCAAGCCCCTTCTTTCTTCCCTCACTTGGCATGGAGCACAGTCTGCTCCCTGGCCAGTGCTGTTCTGCATGGCCTAAAACACACACACACCCCGAAGCCAGTTTCAATCTTTTCCCCACAATAACCCTTTAAGAAGCAGTGAAAGCCACACTCAACAGCCTCACTCTGACGAGTTTTTTGACAACCAACCTTCAATTTTCACCTCGGCTTCGGGGTCCTCACCCGTTTCTGAAGTGACACGCGGAATGGAATCTTGAAAAAAAAATTTCTAAAATGACATTCATTATTATGTATTCTCATGTTCCAACCTTTTACTGCTCCTGTACCCAAACAGTAGCTTAGCCTGGCATTTAAAACACATTTCATACTTAACAACAATGTAAAAGTATAAATGTGAAAGTAATTTTATTTTTTTTAAATTTTTATTTACTTCTATTTTTAAAATTTTAATTCAGTTAGCCGACATATAGTACATCATTTCAGAGGTAGAGGTCAGTGACTCATCAGTTGATATTAACACCCAGTGCTCCTCACATCACATGCCCTCCTTAATGCCCATCACCCAGTTACCCCATCACCCCACCCACCTCCCCTCCAGCAACCCCCAGTTTATTTCCTAGAGTTAAGAGTCTCTCATGATTTGTCTCCCTCTCTGATTTCTTCCCATTTAGTTTTCCCTCCCTTCCCCTATGATCCCCTGCACCGTTTCTTATATTCCTATGAGTGAAACCATATGATAATTGTCTTTCTCTGATTGACTTATTTTGCTCAGCATAATCCCCCCTCCAGAGGATTGTTGAAAAAGAAAAGCAAAGCTGGCGTCATCACAATTCCGGACCTCAAGCTCTACCACAAAGCTGTCATCATCAAGACAGTATGGTACTGGCACAAAAACAGACACATAGATCAATGAACAGAATCGAGAGCCCAGAAATGGACCCTCAACTCTACGGTCAACTCATCTTTGACAAAGCAGGAAAGAATATCCAATGGAAAAAAAAGACAGTCTCTTCAACAAATGGTGTTGGGAAAATTGGACAGCCACATGCAGGAGAGTGAAACTGGACTGTTTTCTTACACCATGCACAGAGATAAACTCAAAATGGATTGAAAGACCTAAATATTTATTTTTACTTTTTATTTTGTAGTAATCTCTACACCCAACGTGGGGCTCGACCTCGTGACCCTGAGATCAAGGGCCTCATGCTCTTTTGACTGAGCCAGCCAGGCGTCCCTAAATGTGAAGGTAATTTTAACTTTAAGAGGGATCATAGGGTAAGAAAGGGTAACCTTATAAGGGACAAGGGGAGGCAAGAAACTCAGATACTGTGAAACAGTACCCAGTTACCCACAGTAGTGGACACGGAATGTCCTTCTATTGGAGGTAATGGAATTTCTCTGGTTATAAGCATTTTCTTGCTCTCATCAGAAATCACTTGGATAAAAGAAAGCCGGGTGCTTTGGGGGGCGGTTCCCCTGCCAGCAATCCCCTGGGGTTCAGTCTGCTATCACACTAGAGGCACAACTGATTTTTCTAGTTTGCCAGAATTATGACACACAGTCATAAGCCTGGCTGGAACATTCTCGCCTAACTCTGGCTCATTTTAGAAAGCTTCCATCAGCCCAGACCTTTGGAGACCACTCTCCTCTGAGCCTGATGGCATTCTTCCATCAATTGTTCGTAGAGGAAGAAAGACTCTAAACTAATTAGCTGTTGGATATTGGACTATTGGAAGGTAAGATGTAATGTCTGGGGGGAAAATGGGTGAAGACACACCAGACCTCTCTGACTGTTCTTGCAGCTTCTTGACAATCTTTAATTGCTTCAACATAAAAAGTTTACAAAAAAAAAAAAATCAAACTAATTTGGTTGTATCACAAATAGGCTTCCCGCTATATTGTAATAATAGAAATCTCTTGGGGGCGCCTGGCTGGCTCAGTCGGCGGAGCGCGTGACTCCTGATCTCAGGGGATTGTGAGTTCGAGCCCCGCATTGGGTGTAGAGATTACTAAAAAAATAAATCAATACACTTAAAGAAAACCTCTTCAGAAACAAGGTATTTCAAAGACCAACATCCAGTGACATCTTTCTGTCACTCCACACCAGCTCTACCTGGACTCTCATGTCTTCCTCCTCCTAAATATGTTCTATTCTTTTAAAAAGAATGACAGAACAATGTTTTTTTTTTCATTTTTATTTATTTTTATTTTTATTTTAAGTAGGCCCCGCGTCCAGTGTGAGGCTTGAACTCACGACCCTGAGATCCAGAGTTGTGCGCGGAGTTGGCTGACTGAGCCTGCCGGGTGCCCCCACAGAACATGTCTCAACGGGCTTCAACCAAGGGAAAGAAAATGATGCACGGGAGGAACAGATTTAAACTGAATTTGAAATCCCTGTCCTCCCCAACATCCAGAGAAGGTCAGAGACGGGGTTGAGTAAAAAACAACGAAAAATAAATGGCAGAATCCTGTCACACGTTATGACATGGATGAACCCCAGGGGCATGTGTCACACCGGGATGTGGGGCTTGATCCCACGACCCTGAGATCACGACCTGAGCCGAAGGCAGATGCTTAACCGACTGAGCCACCCAGGCATCCCTGTGGTGTGTTTTTTATTTTATTTTATTTATTTATTTTTTAAATAATTTTTTATCATTATGTTAATCACCATACATTACATCATTAGTTTTTGATGTAGTCCTGTGGTGTGTTTTTTAAACCACAGTAAAAAAAAATGTATAATTTAGAAAAGTAAATGGAAGTTGAATAATGACAGAGGGGCTTGTCCTCTTGGTTTAAAGCAATTAAGTTTAAGAAGATTAATTCTGTGAGCGAATGAATGATTCTAACCCTGCACCAGAACATAGTATGTTCTCTGGTAAAATATATCAAAACTCTTTTAGGTCAGAGAATTGAACCAAATGTTCAGGTAGCCATTGGAACTGTCCCCTACGATAAAGAACCCCAGATGCCCCCAAATCACAGGAGCTATTAAAAATGACCACACATTAGCTCCCTGGAGAATGCCTCTGACTTAGAGAAAAATACAAATCATTTTGGAACCAAGATAGACATCTGACTCCTAAAAGCAAGGTCTTCTTGCCTGTAAACTGACAAAGATGTCCCATGCCTCTAGGTTTGGGGAGGAAATTTCCTTTATTCATTTTACCTTGGACATGTATAAACCATTTTAAGAGTTCAGGCCTTATACACGATGCTCAAGATTTATACACACGGGGAGGGAAGTACTATCAAATTTTACTTCTGATTCAAGAATTTCCTAGGGTTGCCTGCGTGGCTCAGTCGATTAAGTGTCTGCCTTCGGCTCAGGTCATGATCCTGGGGTCTTGGGATTCAGCCCCACATCCTCGGGCTCCCTGCCCAGCAAGGAGTCTGCTTTTCCCTCTTCCTCTGCCCCCGCTCCCCCCACTCCTGCTCTCTCTCAAATAAATAAATAAACTCTTAAAAAAAATTTCCTAAAATACTTTTCAACCCTGTTCAAAAGAATTTGGCGGGGGCGGGGGGGTGTGCACCTGGCTGGCTGTCAGTGGAGTGTGCAACTCTTGATGGTGGGGTCGTGAGTTTGAGCCCCATGTGTGGTGTAGAGTTTACTTAAAATTGAAAAAAAAAAAAAAGAAATTAAAAAAAAGAAAAGGAAATTTGGTATGACCCGCAAGAAGACAAATGGAATAAAGCAACAAATGGCCCAGATGTAAAGTTTTCTTACCACACAACTTCTAATCCAGGTGCTTTAAGGAGAATCACTCACAGATCAGAAAGGTAAGAGTGACAGTAAGACCACATTTTAGCGCTAAGATCGGCTGGTTTTCTAAGGTGGCAAGCCGGGAAGCTGCCTTATTTTCAGACATGTGTCATGGGTGTTTAAAAGACCATGTTCTCTGCAAAACACTGTAAACTAGAACAACAAAACCAAAAAGAGGCTAAAATGCCTGGCTTCTCTAACCTTCCATTGGTAATTCCATTTCTATTACTTCGCTGCTTACACAAGGATGCTGGTTTTCTGAAAGGGAAGCAAACAATATATTAAAAAAAAAAAAAGGCCAAAATAGAAAATGTAAACAAGAATTCATTTAAAACCAAGCCAACAGTTCAAGACCCACACAGGAATGTACGTGAGAAATACTCTGAGTCCTTGAAATAAAATTCACACAAATGAGACCTTCTTTGCACTTTTTCTTTGTTGTTTTATCTGCACTTTGGTGAAGTTTCAAACCTACAAAAGCAGAGACGGTAGAATGATGCCATGTGTCCATCCCCAGGGCCAACAGCCACCAGCTCCATATCCTCTTTTTCTGCATGCCCCCACACCTGCTGTTGAAGTCAATCCCAGGTCCGGCAGGGTCGGGGTGCACAGACTGCGCATGTGCAAGTAAGACGTAATGACTCGTCCTTCACCTTCACCACATCACGATTCCCCCCAAACCAACAACTCTTCTCTGTCATCAGCTCATATCTAGTCACTGTGCAAATTTCTTCAATTGTCTTGTAAATATCTTTTTTTTTTAATGTCATATTTGGACATAGTTTCAAATTTACAGAAAAGTCACAACAAGTAAAAAGTACAGAGAGGAGCCACATACCCTCTACTCACATGACATGTGGGAGACAGTTTACGGTTTCCCTTGATCATGTTCAATCTTTGCCCCCCTGCCCCCATTTTCCTACGTAGGCAGATCGATGTAGATATACAGGACATCCTTTTCTCTTTCTCTGACCCATCTGAGCAAAGTTATATAGACCGTGGCCCTTCACCTCTGAATGCTTAATAGCTTTCCCTCCTCCAGTGCGGGATCCAGTTTGGGGCCAGACTCATTGCTCTTTCTTCTCATTTTGTTCTCATTTCTCTTTCTTCTCATTTAACCTTATTTTGAGTTGGTCTGATGTTTCCTCGTGCAAAGATTCAAGTTTTGCATTCTTGGCCAGACTACTACTGCTGAGATGACGGTGTGTCCTCCCCAGGGTACCACGTGTAGAGGCAGATATGTGTGGGTCATCCTGAAATTCATGAGTTGGAATCTTAACCCCCAACGTGTTGGTATTGGTGATGGCGCCGCTGGGAGGTGCTTACGAAACGAGGGTGGAGCCCTCAGGAATGGAATTAGTGCCCTTGGAAAGGGGCCCCCCCAAGAGAGCTCCCTCACCCCTTCCACCATGTGAGGACACAGCAAGAAGATGTTTATCTATGCACCAGGAGGGGGTTCCTCACCAGACTGCCAGCACCTTGGTCTTAGACTTCACGGCCTCCAGAGTGGTGAGACAGACACTCCTGTTGTTTATCATTCCCCGCCCCGGCCAACCTGTCCCCAGTCTATGGTATTCTGTTTTAGCAGCCTGAACGGACTAAGGCGGTGTCCACCTGCCCCTCACTGGTGATGTGAACCTTGATCGCTGGGTCAGGGTGTTGCTTGATTTCTCCACTGGATAATTACCATTTCTTCCTCCCTCTTGCAACTAACAAGCAGCTTGTGGGTGGAGAAATGTTAAGGTTGTTTAAGTATTCCACTCCTTTTCTAGATTTCTCTCTAGATGCCGTGTCCACTGGTGACTCCTGCTTGACCCGGTCTTTTATCACAATGGTTACAAAATGGCTGTTTTCCAATTTCAGCACTCCTGCCCAGCACTTGGCATTCCACAGGAATCCATAAATGTCTTTCTGTAGCTGGTTTGTTCAAATCAAGACCCCAACAGAGCCCACATGCTGCATTTGGCTGAAATGTCTCAAATATATCTTTTACTATAAAACAATTTTCTCTCCATTTCTTTTTTTTTAACTTGCCATCATTCGATGAAGAAATCCACCTTGTTGTGTTCCTTCCCTTCTGGAGTTTCCTGCCTGCATCCTCGTGGTGTCTTCATATAGTTCCTCTATCCCCCGTGTTTCCTGCAAACTGGTGGGTAGATCAAGGGGCGCCTGCGTGGCTCAGTTGTTGAGTGTCTGCCTTCGGCTCAGGTCATGATCCCAGGGTCCTGGGATCGGGCCCCACGTCGGGCTCCCCGCTCAGTGGGAAGCCTGCTTCTCCCTCTCCCACTCCCCCTGCTTGTGTTCCCTCTCTTGCTATGTCTCTGTCTGTCAAATAAATAAATAAAATCTTAAAAAAAAAAAAACTGGTGGGTAGATCTAGAGGCTGGATCAGACTTAGGTTTGATTTTGCCGGGGGTGGGGGCAAGCATCCCCAAGGTGCACCTCCTACTCGATCCCGTCAGGAGGCACACAAAGTCTGCTCACCTCCAAACCTTTGTGATGTGAACTTTGGACCAGTCAGTTCAGGAAATGTCAGCCGAATCCATCTGTGATAACGTCCCCATCAACGTTTTATGAGTGGCTTTACTGGCCACTGATGATTATTGCCAAGATGCATGGCTTCATTGGGGGTTGTAAAATGGGGACACTTTATGACTTTTTAAAAGCCTTGTTTTTTCCCCCAAAATTCTTTTTTTTTTTTAAAGTAAGCTCTACGCCCAATGTGGGGCTTAAACTCATGACCCCGAGGTCAAGAGTCCCATGCTCCACCAACTGAGCCAGCCAGGCACCCTCATTTAGCCATTTTTAAATCGGGTAGTTTGTGTTTTTGTTGTTGAGTTAAAACAGTTCTTATTCTTATTCTTGTCTGTTTAATCTAGGTTACTTAATGCTGGCATTCAATTTTCTGAATTTGTGGTAGGCAGATGGCCTCCCACGGATATCCAAAACCTGTGAGTCTTGTATGGTACGGGGCAAGAGGCAATTAAGGTGGTAGATGGAATTAAGTTTGCTCGCCAGCTGACCTTCACAAAAGGAGATTATCCTGCATTATCTGGGCTCAACATAATCAGAGGGGCATTTATGTGTAGAACAGGGAAGTACAGGAGTCCATGTCAGTGAGGGGATGTGGGAAAGACAGTGTCAGTTCCTTGATCTTGGGCTTTTGTATCCACTTTCCCCTCTGCCTGGAAGGCTTCTCTCCCAGATCGTGCAGTGTCAGCTGGGAAGAAAACTGCAATGGCGTTGAGACTCTTACCTCTGCCAATGTCAAGGGAACCTGGGCGCAGTGTATCTCAGCAAAGCTGGTCCTGTGCATTCTCCATTCCCAGGGGCCCCGGAGATGGGGTCCCTGCACATATAAAAGACCTCATGGGACATCCATGGTCTCCATGTTGGCGAAGACATGGATGTGTGCATGTGACTCAGGGGTCTTCCGAGAGGTCTGTGTTGCAAGTGGATGGCGAGGTCCAGGTGGGCTGGGGTGGGATGGGGAGTCAGACTTTCATATAAACCTTCCACAAGCCCCTGGGCCCTGGTGGAGCCACAGCTGAGGTCACTGGGAGCTCCACAAAGGCTAGTTGACATTCGGAGCAGGGGGCACTTGTTGCCTTTATGAATTTAAACATTTCTCTCTTACTTACGTCAGTACTTCAATATGTGAGGATTTTATCTAAATGGTTGCAAAAACATTCAGTACCGTGGAATACAGTCCATGATGTCAGGCAGTTTTTACCCTTTGGGCATCAAGAAGCAAGGGGCCCCACTTAAGGAGCTTTTGTACAAAGAAGATGTCTTGAGTCCTGTCATTTCCAAGCCAAGCAGGAGAAAGATTATAAATTATATACTTAGCCTAAGGGTTGTTCTTCAAATAATGTGCTTCTTTCTGAAAAACTGCAATAGAATGACTGTAGGTATGTCTATCTAGTCATTTATTTATTTCACGGCTGCCTTTGGGAGCAGACTCGGTAAGTAACCTAGATTCCCCCAACTGTATACATTTTGCTAAACCTCAAGGTCATTTAAGTTGAAAAGGATATTCTTGGGAGTCAAGATGTAATCATACGAACTTTTTCTCAAAACGGGAGTGACTGAGAAACAGGTTACACGGATTCTTTGTGAGGGATGCGCTCAGTTCAGCAAGCACACGTGAGTGCCTGCTGTGTGCACGGCCCTGGGCTTGGGGCCCTGGGGCTCCAAGCTGGGGGAAGCCCGCTGTGTCCTCCCCCCAGGAGCCCGCCCCTGGCTGGGGCCGTCTGTCTGCAGCAAAAGCATAAATACCACATAAGCAGGCAGCGCTAAAGACTGTGTGCACTTCGGGAGCTGAAGGCTCCCTGCTCTACTTGAGATTCTGATTGTGCCCAGAAAGGGGTGGAACTTGCTGGAAGCCTGCAGAGCCAGAAGAGAATCACACGGAGGGATCGGCTTATATAAAAGCCGGTGGAAGGAGGATTCAGGGCATGTTTCAGGAATCACCCTGAGCAGGGTGTCCGAAGAACTGAGGGAGGGTGATCGTGGTGGGAGGCAGACAGAATAGGAAGGGAGGCTAGAAACTGCGATGGAAGACACCGGTGATGAGGAGCCACACACGGTGTGTGAGCAGGGGAGGGAGGTGACAGACCCCGTTGTCTAGGAATAAATGATTGGGGGACAGGGGGTAGGATGGATTGAAAAGGGATCCTAAGGGACCGCAGCAGACCAGCTGTGTGTGGGGGGGTCGGGTGGGGGGGACTGGCCCAGGACAGAGCGATGACAACCAACACTCTCATTGGTCTTTAGTTTTTGAAAAAGTTTTTTTTTACTGTAAGTTACAGAGCTCAGTAATGTTGCAGGAATATTTCAAAGGTAAGATTTCTGTAGGAAACATTTCAAACCTGGTCATGTTTGAGGAATTAATTGGGAAAGGTCCCACAGTCTGCCTGCATTCACAGAGGAGTCAAAGGTGAGACAGGATCCGTTCCCATTGATGATGCTACAACGTCCTGTCGTCAAACTGGCATCACGCTGGGGGGTCCAGCAGGATTCTGGTCTCTGGGGAGAGAGCCTAGCCAGGCAACTACACAGACCACCTACCTGTGCCCCGTGTGAAAAGTGTGCATCTCTGGTAATCTGTGTCTTCTGTTCCCCGTTTAACTTGTATGATGTCAATGAAGCAAATATTATTAAGAACGGGCACCTGAATTTCTTCACTCTCATATTCATGTCTTTTAACTTCTGATACTTTCCTAGTAACTTAGGGAACAGACCGGATGGGAGAGGATCAGAGAAAAGTTGTTTTGTCTATTTTTTTTTTTAAAGTAGGCTCCACGCCCAGCGCGGAGCCCAGGGCAGGGCTCGAACTCACGACCCCGAGATCAAGACCTGAGCCGAGATCAAGAATCAGATGCTTCCCTGACAGAGCTGCCCGGGCCAATATTACTGGACACACAAAATAAGAATACCTAACAGACAAACTCAAGTAACATACACCCTGGATTGCCTTTACCCTCACATTTGCCTTGAAGCATGTGGGTTTAAGTTACACGGGATCTATTTCATGACTGTAAAATGCTTTACATCAGGGGTGCCTGGGTGGCTCAGTCAGTTAAGTGTCTGCCTTCGGCTCAGGTTATGATCCTGGAGTCCCAGGATCAAGCCCCGCATCGGGCTCCCTACTCAGGGGAGTCTGCTTCTCCTTCCTCTCGTGTTCTCTCTCTCCCTCTCAAATAAATAAATAAAATCCTAAAAAAAATGCTTTACATCAAATGGCTCTACGCTAGATCCCAGGAACATGGGTCTTTTTGTATTACTCTCTGCCTGTTTTTTGGCTAGGGGCTAATTACAATTTTCCGTCACCAATAACTCTTAGGGAAGAAAATGAGGACAAAATGGTATTACCTTGTATGTTATATCGATAGTAATTAGGATCTTCCGATTCCTTCTTGACCGACACAGCCACCTCTTTCACCGCCGTGCCTTTGGATGCAATGAAAATGATAAAACCATGTGTTAGGCCACAGCAACCCACAGAGAACTGTGAGCTGTTGAAACTCCAGGCTCTGTCTTGATTAACATGGGGACCCGGGAGTCAGCAAAATGACATGGAGCTGACGCTCTCTGAGCAAACGGGTAACCCATGTAAAAATATAAGTCATAGCAACAAAACAACATAAAACTCAATCTAAAAGGGCAAGAAGGAGGGAGGGAGAGAAGGAAAGGAAGAAGGCCGAGTTCCCAGCTTGAGAAAAATGTTCCCTTTCAAGACAGGGCATATACCCCTGTGTTTATGCAAAACCGCAGTAAATATTCTGTAATGGGACCTAAACTGGCATATATACATATATATATATATATATACATTTTTTTTTTTAGTTTTTATTTAAATTCCAGTTAGTTAACATACAGTGTAATATTAGTTTCAGGTATACCACATAGTGATTTAATACTTCTGTACATCACCCGGTGGCACATGTAATCTCAACTCACCTACTACAATGGAGTGGATTTCAAAATTGCAAACCCTGGGGGGAACCACCTTAGTGAAACCAAAAGCCTTTCATCAGGGAAAAGTGTGGTAGGCTGCAAAACTAGCCCCAGGCTTCTCCCCCATCCCAAAAGTGCAAGCCTGGCTTGTCTGCAATGTCTCTCCCCCTTTTCTAGACGTGGAGGCTACTTCTCCACCCTTTAAAACTGGGCCTGGGGCGCCTGGGTGGCTCAGTCGTTAGGCGTCTGCCTTCAGCTCAGGTCACGATCCCAGGGTCCTGGGATCGAGCCCCGCATCGGGCTCCCTGCTCCACGGGAAGCCTGCTTCTCCCTCTCCCACTCCCCCTGCTTGTGTTAACCTCTCTTGCTGTGTCTCTCTGTCAAATAAATAAAAAAAAATCTTTAAAAAAAAAAATAAAATAAAACTGGGCCTGGTCATGTGGCTCGCTTTGGCCAATGGGCCAGGGGCCAACAGGATGCAAAAGCCGAGGCCTGGAAAGTGCTGGTGCATCCGGGCTCCTGCTCTGGAACTGAGTGGCCATGTGAATGAGTTTGGGCTAGCCTCCCGGAGGGTGTGAGACCGTGAGGAGAGAGGCCCAGCTCTCCCGGCAGAGGCCTCAGACCCAGGAGCGAGGCCAGCCCAGAGTGGAGGGACCGCCCAGCCAACACGTGGAACTGGGAGAAAGACTAATTGTTATTTTTTGTTATTTTTTTTTTTAAATTTTATTTATTTAATTGACAGAGAGACACACAGCGAGAGAGGGAACACAAGCAGGGGGAGTGGCAGAGGGAGAAGCAGGCTTCCCGCCGAGCAGGGAGCCCGATGTGGGACTCAGTCCTGGAACTCCGGGACCATGACCTGAGCCGAAGGGAGACGCTTAGCCAACTGAGCCACCCAGGTGCCCCTGAAAAGTTCTAGTTTCTCACTAAGTGTGATGTTAGCTGTTGGCTTTTTGTAGATTTTTTTTTTTTGTCCCATTGAGAAAGTGCCCCACCCTTTCTACTTTACTGAAAGTCTCATTTTTTAGAAGTAAAACAAAAGAAAGGAGTCAAATGATAACGTGCTAAATACTTGATTCCGGAAGGCATCGGTGTATACATACCCGTATCTTCCATGGGCTCAGTTTTCACACTGATGGGGCCACAGCTGAAAAGAGAAGGGAACCCTTGTCAGGACAAGCCGGGTGGGGTGAGAAGTGACCACAGGCATCGGAACACGCTGTACTCGAATCCCCCAATATCCATGCCATCCTAACCCCCTTTCCCACTAGCGACTGAACACAAAACTAACTAGTTAATTTAATATTAACGTTCTTAGTAGTTTGTTATACAATTAAAGGTGTCAACTGAACATAGTCTTAAAATCCCCAAATCCTTTCGAATAAAGAATATCTAACAAAACAAGGGAAACTTCCCATGGTCTAAAAACTAACACTTCGGGGTTATGTGTGGATTTTATTTTTTATTTCCCTTACCTTTCGCTTGGCGATGTCACCGACCTCTTAGCATCTGCGCCCACCACAGGCCCACCTGTGCAAGAGTAAAAAGACACACGCTAGCGTCTTTCTGCACCTTGAAAATGCCAACATTCAAAGGCACATAAGGTGAAAGCAAAGGTAGAGAGAACAGAACTCCAGCTCCAGGCCTTACGAAATCCTACTGGGCAGAGACCAACTCAGGGCGGCCCTCAGGTCCTGGGGCCATGTGTGTGGGCAGAATGGGGGCCGAGGAATAGACTGGGGCTGGAGCGACCCCACACAAGTCACTGAACCTTCCTGGGCCTCAGTTTCCTTGTCTGAAAATGGTGGTTGGGTGAGGATCATTTAATACGTACAAAGTGCTTAGGATCGTGCCTGGTACAGCCTATGTGCTGAGTAAGTGAGCTGCTAGTCTTGTGCTATAATAAAAATACAAGCCATCTGGGACAATGGTCACCTGGTCACCTGCCGCCCCACACCCTCAGGTTCCTGCTTTAACAGCAGCTAGGGAATTCTAGGAACTTACAATTGCTCTGGAAATGGGTTTTGCTCTGTGAGTAGTTCAGGCTCGGGACAACGTCACATTGCCCTGTGTACCCTGTATGTGCCTTGTGAACTCTACCCCACACCTCCCCAGGGCCTTTTGTTTCTGAACCTATGTAGTCTTGGACTCTTAGACCTAGTGTCTTGAGGACAGCCATGGCCCGCCATTTCCAACTATGTTCCAGAATAAGGAAATAAGAAGTGGGCAGAGGTGGATCTCCAAATGCTTCTGACAAAATTCTCATTTTTCGGTCCCTTCAACATCATAAGTTAAGATTATGAAGGGTCGTGGGTTCTGAACCGTGGCCTCCAACACCCACCACCCATGTTGCTTTCTGCCTGAGCACATGGGATGGGCTTCCTGGCAGAACCAACATGTTGAGACCCTGCTTAGCTTGAGAGCCTCGTCCTCCATGAAAGCCCTTCTGATCACAAAATTCTAACCTCTTCCCAGGATTCTGGGGATGACCACCAGCCATCCTGAGAAGATCATGGGTCATCGCTGCTTCTCTGTTGGACAGTCTGGTTCTTTTTAGACTGTAAGTCTCAGAAGCACAGGAATGGTCATACCTCCTAGACCCACTCCCGAATCCAACAATGCCTAGCCCATGGTTGCTGCTCAAAGACCATGAAGTGACCCAGCATCCTCATGTTCCTGCCCTCAAGGACAAGGTCGGCTCTACTGCCCTCCATGTGTGGGCTGTGGAAGCTTGCCGGGCTGAGACCTGGGAGCAGAATCCTGTCTCAGCTCTTGTTGGGGGGCAGGGGGGGGTCCTTCCCTGAGCTGCACACCCTGCCAACAGCACGACCCCCCAACCCTGGAGTGTCAGAGGTTGCTTCCTTCATGGGGAGAAGGCAAGGAATACACAAGTTTTAGAATGTGCCAAACTTGCATTTTAATTAAGAAAAGCAGAACTGGGGGCACCTGGGTGGCTCAGTGGGTTAGGCATCTGCCTTCGGCTCAGGTCATGATCCCAGGGTCCTGGGATCGAGCCCCACATCGGGCTCCCTGCTCAGCAGGAAGCCTGCTTCTCCTTCTCCCACTCCCCCTGCCTGTGTTCCCTCTCTCGCTGTGTCTCTCTCTGTCAAATAAATAAAATCTTTAAAAAAATAAAATAAATTGAAATAAAAAAGAAAAATTTTTAAAAATTAAAAAAAAAAGAAAAGAAAAGAAAAGCAGAACTAGCTTAGCAGCCAAGGACAGTCACCAAGTATGAGAAGCTGTCACTTACCTAGCTGACTCGCTGGACCTAGGAAAGGTCTGCAAGAAAACCGATACTATTACCCGACATGAACACACAAGCAAGACAGATCAAAATTCTGAATAACCAGCTTCTAAGTGTAACAGGACTTAATGAACAAACGAACTTGAAATTAAGCTGCCCATTTATCCTCAAAAGAACTAGCTGTTACGAGGGGGATAGAGCCTGCCACCTGTTTATGATGAATGAAATCCCTGCTTTGTTCTCCAAGATCCATTTCAGGGTGGCGAGACCATAGTTCTCAGGATGTTGAAAGGCCATGCCTTCTGGAAGCCCCTGCACGACCACAGCCCCAGGGTCTCGCAGAATCTTCTCGTATGGAACAGGCACCATTGCCGTTGTCCCCAAGGCTTTACCTAGAGGAAGAGTCCAGATGCCTTTAGACGGAATGAACATAAACCCTACCGGTTTGTTTCATTCTGTGCAGTAAAGAAATACAGGTGGTGACACTTGGCTTTGAAGCTAAAATAAAAGCTAAAGTACCCTGTTCCTTACAACCTAAGTTAATAAAGTTCCCAAAGGGCCCAAGGAAAAATGTATAAAACGTTTTACTTTACATCTTCACATAAGAAAGAGGGAATAACAGGTCTTTTTTCTCCATTCTGTTGGAGGTGGCGCACTCAGGGTTGCAGGGAGCACCCCATGGTTATTCAGGCTGCTGTCGACAAGGCATGGGAGCCCCCACCCAAAGCTTAACCGTCCCTATGTCCCTATGTCCCTTATGTCACTCTGCTCGAGTTAGGCCAACTTGTCTGCAGAGAAGTTATGAAGTCAACGTGGCCTCACATCACCATCTTGGGGCCGTGTCAGCCTTCCTGCGCTGGCTGACCAGCCCCCCAGGGGAGGAGCCCCATTTCTCTCAGAGAAGTGTAGCCTGAGACCCCAAGATCCCCTATGTTGAGGGTCACCCACAGCCAAATGCTCACAGGGACCTGGAGGTCCCATAAATATGTGAAGATCTCTGTAAAAACGACAAACAAGACCCTGAGATGCTAAGAAAGGTGCTTATATCGCAACTAAATACAACACCTGTGTAGCTATTTGGTTTCCTAGCGCTTTTTTTTTTTTTTTTTTTTTTTTAAGATTTCATTTTTAAGTAATCTCTACCCCCAGTGCGGGGCTCAAACTCACAACCATGAGATCAAGAGTCACACACTCTTCTGACTGAGCTAGCCAGGTGCCCCTCTCGGTTACCTAGCCTTTTTTTTCCTTGGTTACCTAGCTTTTTTTTTTAATTTTTTTAAAGATTTTATTTAATTATTTGACAGAGAGAGAGACAGTGAGAGAGGGAACACAAGCAGGGGGGAGTGGGAGAGGGAGAAGCAGGCTTCCCACAGAGTGGGGAGTCTGATGTGGGGCTGGATCCCAGGACCCTGGGACCATGACCTGAGCCGAAGGGAGACGCTTAATGACTGAGCCACCCAGGCGCCCCTGAAAATACTGTGTTAGGTATTAAAAAAAATCCCCATCTTGGGGCACCTGGATGGCTCGGTCAGAAGAGCATGCAACTCTTGACCTTGAGTCATGAGTGAGAGCCCCACATTGGGTGTGTAGAGATTACGTAAAATAAATAAATAAATAGACTTAAAAAAAAAATTCCCCATCTTAAATGCTTGGAAAAGACATGAGTAGGTGGAGAGACCAATGACGGTGACGTTGGTGCCCAAAATAGCAATGAACATAGTTGACCCTTGAAAAACATGGGTTGGAACTGCACAGGTCCACCTATATATGGATTTTTTTCAATAAATACAGCACAGTACTGTAAACGTGGTTTTTCTTCCTTAGGATTTTTTTTTTAAAGATTTTATTTGTTTATTTGTCAGAGAGAGAGAAAAAGAGCACAAGTAGGCAGAGTGGCAGGCAGAGGGAGAAGGAGAAGCAGGCTCTCCGCTGAGCAGGGAGCCCAGCGTGGGGCTTGATCCCAGGACCCTGGGGTCATGATCCGAGCCAAAGGCAGCTGCTTAACCGACTGAACCACCCAGGTACCCCTCTTTTTTTTTTTTTTTTTAAGGATTTTATTTAGTTATTTATTCTAGGGAGGGGGCAGAGGGAGAGGAATCTCAGAATCCCCACTGAGCACAGAGCTCGACACAGGGCTCGATCTCATGACCCTGAGATCATGACTTGAGCCAAAATCAAGAGTGGGGTCACCCAACCGACTAAGCCACTCATGAGTCTCTCCTTATGATGTTCTAAATAACACTTTCTTTTCTCAAGCTTATTTTATTGTAGGAAGACATCGTATAATACACATAACATACAAAATACGTATTAATCGACTATTTCTGTTACCAGTAATGCTTCCCGTCAACAGTAGGCTATTAGTAGTTAAGTTTGGGGGGGAGTCAAAGGTTAGGCACGGATTTTTGTCTGTGCCGGCGGTCATTGCCCCTAACCCCTGCGTTGTTCAAGGGTCAACTGTAATTGCATTGGACCTCCACTGGGGGCTCCCTAAAACGGGAGCAAATAATGAAGACTGAAGTCTGGTCAATCGGAGCTTTCCAGTGACCACAAGAGATCAAGCTGTCTTCTGTAAGACTTACTCCAGTCCTGGGGCGCCTGAGTGGCTCAGTGGGTTAGGTGTCTGCCTTGGGCTCAGGTCATGATCCCAGGGTCCTGGGATCGAACCCCGCATCGGGCTCCCTGCTCAGTGGGGAGCGTGCTTCTCCCTCTCCCTCTGCCTGCCACCCCCCTGCTTGTGCTTTCTCTCTCTCTCTAATAAATAAAATAAAATCTTAAAAAAAAAAAAAAGACTTATTCTGGTCCTGAAGAACTGGCTCTTCCCTTAAAGAGAATGTGGAGTTTTAAGCATCAGAGGCATCTAAGGGGTCACACCAATAAGGTGATCTGTAACACTGCCCTCCTCCTGAGTGAACTATTCAGAGAATTAATGCTCGACCTGAACTTTACCGTAACAAAAGCAGAAATAGTCCTCAACCGCTGTTCTGAGTATTTCCGCTTCTCCTGAATCGATCTGCATCCTGTTCGCTGGGCATGGGGGCTTGGCCTCCGCCCCTTCGGCAATGCCTGTGAGTGAGTGACAGGCACAGACTCATTATCCAAGCACTTGTCTTGTGCACTCCCTTAATGTCTATGCTTCTGGTATTTGTAGAGGAAAAAGGGGTAAGAATGAACAAACATAAAACACGATTTTTTTTTTTTTTTAGTAAATTCTACCCCCAACATGGGGATTGAACACACGACCCTGAGATGGTCGCATGTTCTTCTGACTGAGCCACCCAGGTGCCCCAAAACAAGATCTTTTAATTAAGAAAACCCACAGAGATGGGTCGCCTGGCTGGCTCAATCGGTAGAGCATGCAACTCTTGATCTCAGGGTTGTAAGTTCAAGCCCCATGTTAGGTGTAGAGAGAACTTAAAAAATAAAATCTTAAAAAAAAATTGGGGGCGCCTGGGTGGCTCAGTTAGCTAAGCATCCAACTCTTGATTCCAGCTCAGGTCATGATCTCAGGGTCGTGAGATCGAGCTCCGCCTCGGGCTCCATGTTCAGCTCCACCTAGCGTGGAGCCTGTGTAAGATTCTCTCTTTCTCCTTCTGCCCCTCCCTACCCCCACTAATGCATGCTCTCTCTCTCTCTAAAATAGATTAGATAGATAGATAGATAGATAGATAGATAGATGATAGATAAAAATTTAAAAATTAAAAAAACACAAAGAACAGGGTATTTATGATGGATAGGATAATATAACAGTGATCACCTCTGAAATGAATCTACTGATAAAGAACCATAAATAATTCAACACACAGGGAATAGTAGTAGCTCAAAGGAAATGATAACAGAAATGTTATTTGCTATATAGTTCTGAAAGTAACAGACATGGTATGGGAAGACCTTCACCATGGAACAAAAGTAGAGGCATCAACACAGATATTAAAATTACAAAGCAAATATTATAAACCATTTTTTGCCACCAAATTTGACAACTTACATGAAATGAACTAGTTAAAAATGAAGTTGAACGTGAAGTTTACTGAGATGGGTACTGGAAGAATTAGAAAGTATGAATAGCCCTATATCTGAAAAATCAGCATGCAACTGTGAAACTTGAAAAAAATCTGGCATGAAATGTCAACAATTAGAAATCCAACTGGTGGGGAGTCTGGGTGGCTCAGTCGGTTAAGCATCTGCCTCTTGGTTTCATTTCAGGTCATGATCTCAGGGTCGTGAGACTGAGCCCTGTGTCAGCGGGGAGTCTGCTTCTCTCTCTCCCTCTGCACCCCCCCCAACCCTGGCTCATGCTCATTCTCTATCTCAAATAAATAAATAAATCTTAAAAAAAATTCAACTGGCAGCTGATATTAATGAAATGAGAATACTCTTCCTGTTCATCAATTATACACTCACTGTATTATTTAAAGATTGCTTCATATTTGAAACTATCTTCCTGAGAATGGAAACCCTAATTTTCGTCTTGGAAACCAATCTCAATCAATCAATCCCTCTCTCCTTCCCATTTATATATGAACTTGACATACGTAAATACACATTTATGTCCGTATGCCCTCTGACCAACCTTTGGAAACATCTACATCTATATCCATCCTCTCTTTCTTCCACACTCACATTCACATTATATCCTCTGATAAATCTTTGTGTTTTTTTTTTCCCTTTCTTGGTTCCAGAAAATATTAAGGTGCTAACTCAGTATTTGGTAGATGACCTACCATGGTAGAAATCATCACTATACAAGGTGTAGGCTTTAACACCCTAGACTAGTTTCCGTCATATATGGCCCCATATGCTCACTAGTGATCCTTGCCACTCATAACACATTGAAGGCTCTGAAGGTCCCAGAGTGGAAAAAGGGAAAATGGTTATTAACTCAGAGGAATACCTAACAAGCCCTGAGTTTTTCCCTTTCCTTTGGGAACAAGTAAATTAAGAATTTTTTAAAAAAGATTTTATTTATTTATTTGACAGAGAGAGACACAGCGAGAGAGGGAACACAAGCAGGGGGAGTGGGAGAGGGAGAAGCAGGCTTCCTGCCGAGCAGGGAGCCCGATGAGGGCTCATGGGATCATGACCTGAGCCGAAGGCAGATGCTTAACGACTGAGCCACCCAGCCACCCCTAAATTAAGAATTTTTAGAAAGATTTTATTTATTTATTTTAGAAAGCCAGAGAGAGAAGGCACATGTGGGGGGGAGGGGCAAAGAGAGAAAGAATCTCAAGCAGACTTGACGCTGAGTGCAGAGCCCGACACGGGGCTTGATCTCACGACCCTGAGATCATGACCCCAGCTGAAACCAAGAGCCGGATACTGAGTCACCCAGGCGCCCAGAGTTTTTTTAAAATGTGGGTTTATAAAAGGAGTCAAAGATAATTTACTCTATGTTCCTCACATTTCTTTGACAAAACCAGGGTGCTGCTGAGGACACAGGACAAAATACACGTGGCCCCGTTTCTTGGACTCCTCCGTGTTGGGCAGCTACTCACTGGGATGCCAAGTCAAAAGAGATGTATCAGAACCACTTTTAGGATAATGCTTAGGATACCTTAAAAGAAAACATTACATAAGTCTTCCCAGCAAATATTTTAAGAGTTATGAATACAAAGGATAAAACTGTTAACGCCTACAGTATTTTGCAAAATCCTTCTGTAAATCCGTCCTGGCGTTGACAAAAGCACGTCCTTTCTCGGTTCCAACAACAAACACGTCTGTCTCATACATGGCAATGCAGGCCACTTCTGCTTTGGACTTGGCCAACTCTTTGCACTGAAATTGAAACAAAGAATACAGTGTTATATACCAGGGCAGATCCAGATCTTGTGGAGCCTGAGAGATCTGTTTTAAGAAAAGAACACGGGGGCGCCTGGCTGGCTCAGTCGGTAGAGCATGTGACTCTTGATATCATGATTGGGAGTTCGAGCCCCATGGTGGGCATAGACATTAAATTTAAGAAAAATACAAAATTAGGTACAAAAATGAGTATTCATTTAGAATGAGAAAAATCTCCAAGACAAAGAAACAAATCCACCAAGCAAATACCATAAACATCATAAAACCCAGAGAACATATTTTTATTAACTTATTAAGTTAATATTTTTATTAACTTATGATACTGTGGTTTATAACAATAAATAATATATTTGGTTTTCATCCACTGTTCCTGGCCCAGAGCTCCTAAAACCCTTGGAATTTCCTAAGAGAGCAACAAAGGGATCTTTTTGTTAAGGTTAATGTCAAGGTTAATGAGGGCACCTGATGGGGCTGGTTGCCAGGGGAACCAACTATGTGACTGGAGGAGTGGCACTTTCGGCCCTGCCCCCTGGCCTCTGGGGAGGGGAGAAGGGCTGGAAGTTGAGTTCAATCCCTAGTGGCCAATAATTTAATCAATCGTGCCTATGTAATAAAGCCTCCATAAACCCCCAAAAGGACAGCATCAGGAGCTTCCGGGCTGGTGAGCACATGGGGATTTAGGGAGAGTGGTTAACCCGGAGAGGACATGGAGCCTCCACACCCTTTCCCCATACCTTGCCCTATGCATCTCTTCCATCTGGCTGTTCTTGAGTCACATCCTTTTGTAATAAACCGATAATCCAGTAAGTAAACTGTTTCTCTGAGTTCTGTGAGCTGCTCTAGGAAATTAATCGCACCCAGGAGGGGGCGCTCTTTGGAAACCTCTGATCTATAGCCGTAGGTCTGGAGCACAGGTGACAACCTTGACTTGATGTTAGTGTCTGAAGTGAGGGGTGGCCTTGGAGGGTGGAGCCCTTAACCTGCAGGATCTTATGCTCTCTCGACATAGACTGAGTCAGAACTGAGTCAAATTGTAGGACACCCAGTGGCTGTCAGAGAATTCTTGTTGCTTGTCAGAACTGGGGGCAGTATCTTTACCTGCCTTTCCAACAGGTCTTTTTCCCCTATATTTTTGGCTACAGACTCTTCGACTGCCTCTTCCTACGACAACAATTTTATAATATTTTCCATAGAGAGAATAGACAGATAACTTAATATTTCCTCCAACCTGGTTGAGTATGTTTTTATTTTTGATGGTAGGGATGCACAACAGGTGAAAATTCATACATAAGACACACTTCCTGTTCATCATAGTGCTACAGGTGTATGTCCTACAGACAAGAAATCCGTTAAATTTACTTTGTGTAAATCCTTCCAAAGACTGAAAAGAATGTGTGGTGTATTTATAACTGCATATGCTACATTGGTAGGTATATTCCTGACCAGAGAGAACTTCTGTGTTGTTTTTTTTAAGATTTCATTTATTTATTCATGAGAGACCAAGAGAGAGAGAGGCAGATGGAGAAAGAATCCCAAGCAGACTCCCCGCTGAGTGTGGAGCTCAACACGGGGCTCAATCTCACGACCTGGAGATCATGACCTGAGCTGAAATCAAGAGTTGGATGCTTAACTGACTGTGCCATCCAGGTGCCCCCCCACCAAAAAAACAACTTCTTAGTTCCCAGAGGGTTGAGGGAGGGGCGGGTGGGGAGTAATTTTGTTCAATGAGTGCAGAGTTTCAGTTGAAGAAAATGAAAAAGCTCTGGAGAGGGATGGTGGTGACAATTACATGACAAGTGAATGTATTTAATGCCCTTGAACTGGTTAAAGTGGTTAAAATGGTAAATTTTATGATCTCTATCTTACCACCGTAAAAACCAAAACCAAAACTCTTAATCTTCCCCCCAAGAAAACCTCACAACTCACATCCAATCTATTGCTAAGTCCTGTCAACTCTACAGATCCTTCTAGAAGCATCACTTCTTCCCACCTCCATCATTCCCAGCCTCGTCCATGCCACCGAAATCTCCCGCCTGAACCATGGCCTTAGCCCGCTAACTGGTGTCCCAGCATCCCACTCTTGTTCCACGTTCACCGACTGGCCACACGAGCACCACGCCCCCGAATGACTCCTTCACTCAGAACCGTCCAAACGCTTCCCACCACCCTGCGGAGAAAGGCCCAGAGCTCTACATGATCTGGCCACCTGGGGCCTCTTGAACCTTACCTCTGACCACCTCTTCTTTTCTCCCCCTGCTTCAGTGTCACTGGACTTCTTGATGCTCCTTGAAAATATCACTCTTGTGGGCACCTGGGTGACTCAGTAGGTTAAGCATCCGACTTGGTTTCAGCTCAGGTCATGATCTCAGGGGCATGAGACCGAGCCCCACGTGAGGCTCCATGCTCAGCACAGAGTTTGCTTGAGATTCTCTGTCCCTCTTCCTCTCCCTTTGCTCCTCCCCTCCACTCACCCCCCCCTTGTTCTCTCTCTCGAAATAAAGAAAAAAATCTTAAAAGAAAAAAAATAGTCCAGCCCAGTCATTTTGTAGAACGTCCCTTAATTTGGCTTTGTCTGGTGTTCCCCCATTAGATTCCGGTCATGCGTTTTCGGCAGGAATGCCACAGAATTGGCAAAGCCCCTTCCTGGCACATCATGTTGGGAGGCACATGACACCAGTCTGTCCCATTACTGCTGATGTCCACTCTGAGGGCCTGATGAAGGGGGCGTCTCTCAGGCTTGTCCACTTTATAAGGTGCTGGTTTTCCCTTTCTAATCAATAAGTATCTTGTGATCGGATTCCTTGAGGTTATGGACATTTCTCACCAGGTTTTCACCCACAAGGTCCATCTTACATGTTGGAGCTAACAATGGACTATCAGCTTACCTCTGAATTCAGAGCAAAAGCATTCTCAAACAAAGGAACAGAGGCGCCCTCGTTAAATTTTCAGATCTGGAAAGCTCATGTTGATATAATTACATCCATAGCATAAGAAATGCCTTTAACGGTGACCTGATGAGCCCGGGACCTCTGTGAAGAAGGCTACAGTTAAATAGACAGAGTGAAATGTGGCCCAGCTCTGCTATTTCTTTCTTTCTTTTTTTTTTTTTTAAGATTTTATTTATTCACTTGACAGAGAGAGACACAGTGAGAGAGGGAACACAAGCAGGGGGAGTGGGAAGGGGAGAAGCAGGCTCCCCGCTGAGCAGGGAGCCTGATGTGGGACTCGATCCTGGGACCCTGGGACCATGACATGAGCCGAAGGCAGATGCTAAACGACTGAGCCACCCAGGCGCCCCCAGCTCTGCTACTTTGACAGTGGTCCAACTGGGGGACATTTTATAGAACCGCAGACCGCCTCACCATGGACTCCAGAGCAGACATGAGGAACGTCACCACCATCCTGCTCTCCGAGGACTCCTCGGTTTCCACAGGCAGGGCAGACACTTCCACTTGGGCCATGATCCCTGTCCAAGAGAAGTAACAAGAAAGTGAGCAGTGGAAATCCACAGTATCCTCTAAGCATGCGTTTAGAGCTGCGAGGGTCCTCACCAATGACCTAGTTCCAACCTCCCTTTACGGGTGAAGAAACTAACTAAAGACATAAAGTGGTTTGGGGCGCCTGGGTGACTCAGTCGGTTGAGCGTCTGCCTTCGGCTCAGGTCATGATCCCTGGGTCCTGGGATCGAGTCCCACGTCGGGCTCCCTGCTCAGCGGGGAGTCTGCTTCTCCCTCTGCCTCTGCCCCCCATCCTGCTCCTGCATGCTCTCTTGCTCTCTCTCTCTCTCAAATAAATAATAATAATAAAAATAAAGACGTAAAGTGGTTTGCCCAAGATCTCTGGCTAGGAATGCTAATTTTCATGAAGGGTGTTTTCCACTAAACCTGGACGTCATCTCCTTGCAAAATAAATTCAGGTACTTTGCTGGAGAAGCATGTTAACCACTTCCCAAGGACGTTAGTGCCCGACACCACATTCTGACTCCCAGCCACAAAAGAGAGAGAAGTGGGTTTGTACACTCAAGGTGGGAAGAGATGATCCCAGCTAAGATTTCTCTGGCATAAAAGCTCACTCAAAATTCCTCCGAGCTCTAAATCAAGGTAGCATCCCAAGATGTCTCTGAAAAAAATTCTCTAACACCATAAAAAGGATTTTTTTAAAAATTTATTTATTTGAGAGAAAGAGAGAGAGAGAGACCACAAGCAGGGAAAGCAGCAGAGGGAGAGGGAGAAGCAGGCTCTCCAATGACCAAGGAGCCCAACGCAGGCCTCGACAGGAGGACCCCCGGATCACAACCCAAAGGCAGATGCCCAACCAACTGAGCCATCCAGGCGCCCCCATAAAGAGGATTTTTCGAAGTAGAGCATTCTAAAGAAATACTACTAGCTCTGTCATGGCCCCAAAGCAGCTGGATTAATTATATTTGTAAGCAAAAGATAAATTAACAGATAACATGAATAGGTACATGGAAGGAAGTCGAAACATAGATCGAAGGGAGTGAATTATGGTGGTTGTATATAAGGTTATTCAGAAATATTCACATAGTCTCTCTCTCTCTCTCTCTTTTTTAAGATTTATTTATTTGACAGAGAGGGAGAGAGCACAAGCAGGGGGAGTGGCAGGCAGAGGGAGAGGGCGATCAAATTGCTTTGGTTAAAAATTTTTATAAATCTGGGGCACCTGGGTGGCTCAGTTTGGTTAAGCACCTGACTCTTGATATCAGCTCAGGTCTTGATCTCGGGGTCGTGAGTTCAAGCACCATGTTGGGAGGCTCCCAGCATGGAGCCTACTTAAATTTTTTTTTTTTTAATAAATCAGTCTCCCTACTATGAAATAGAATGTGAAAGGAGAATGGAACTTCATACCAGGCATGACCTGGCCATGAACAAGTAAGGAAATACACACGCTTCAATTTGGACTTTTTATTTTTATTTTATTATTATTTTTTTTAAGTAGGCTCCCTGCCCAGTGTGGAGCCCAACACGGGGCCTGAACCCATGACCCTGAGATCAAGACCTGAGCTGAGATCAAGACTTGGATGCTCAACAGACTGAGTCACCCAGGCATCCCCAATTTGAAGCTTTTAAATAATTATCTTAAAATAAAACTTTGACTTTCCTTATCACACCCATATTTGAGAACAAGGAGAAGTCTGTCATTATAAACTACTTACATGTGGGTAGTTTATAAAATGAAAAAAATTACTAGGACATGGCCTTCTATGTCCTTAAGATAACCTCCAAGTTCAGAAGTCTCTCAATGAAGCAGACCAAAAAGCAAAGTGGAGCACCCATTCCTGAACTCAAACATTGTTCACGTCTGCAGATTTTATTCAGCAAGAAGAAAAATGGTCAAAATGATCACTCACTGTCTCCTTTTGAGTAAAGTTTTTATTATAAAAAATTCTTTAGCTGGGCACCTGGGTAGCTCGTTTGGTTGAGTGTCCAACTCTTGATTTTGGCTCAGGTCGTGAACTCAGGGTTGTGGGATTGAGCCCTGGGTCGGGCTCCACACTGAGTGTGGAACCTGCTTAAGATTCTCTCCCTTTCTCTCTGCCTCTCACCACACCGCCCCACCCCTGCTCACGATCTCTCAAAAAAAATTCTTTGTAACTGCTGTAAACTAAATCCTCACTGGGATTACATTTCATTTCTTTGAAATACCTGTTCATGTCATTAAAAATTTTTTTTTAAAGATTTATTTATTTATTTTAGAGAAATCATGTGAGCAGGGGGAGGGGCAGAGGGAGAGGAGTAGTGAATCCTCAAAGTAGACTTGCCTTGGAGCCCACCATGGGGCTTGATCCCAGGACCCTGAGATCATGACTGAAGTCAAAATCAAGAGCCAGCCACTCAACCAACTGCGCCACCTAGGCACCCCCAAAATTTTTAAAATCAAGGTATATTTTATGGAAAGTTCACTTTTTAAAAAAGATTTTATTTATTTGACAGAGAGAGAGAGAAAGAGAGAGCACAAGCAGGGGGAGCAGCAAGAGGGAGAGGGAGAAGCAGGCTCCCCACTGAGCAGGGAGCCCGATGCGAGGCTCGATCCCAAGACCCTGGGATCATGACCTGAGCTGAAGGCAGATGCTTAACCGACTGAGCCACCCAGGCATCCCTGGGTTAACTTTGTAATACTGCTGTTATGTAAAATATTTTTGCTGATAGGAAATATATACTGTTAAGTATTCAGGAATAATGGGGCCACAGGTTGATAATTTCTCTCAAATGGTTCAGAAAAAATAAAAGTTCTTTGTACCATACTCCCAACTTTTCAGCAAGTTCAAGATTATTTCAAAATTTTAACAATTATTTTTAGAAACTGACCATACTCTGTGTCAATTATTTGTACATTTCTATGTTCAGAAATTTTATGGTCCATCCTATGGGTTATGTAATTCTTTTTTGGGGAAATCAGTCTCTAGAATGCACCATTAAGAATTCAGATTAAATTCTTTCATGAGAAGGGCACAACTTGAAATGACTTTTATTTTATGCAAAATAAGTCTGTTGGTGAAACTGGAGCTTTCACTCCAAAGTCCTGTCTACACTTTTAGAAATCAATGGCATTACTTGGTTGAAACAGTGAAATTATTTTCCCATTGGAAGTTACAAAGATTTAAAAATGAGCCTTTAAATATATTGAACATGTGTTCAATTTTTATCTAAGATAAAGCGAATATTTGTTTTTAAAAAGGACTAATATGGGTAAATTTGCACTGTTCTAAAAATAAACTGCATTCAAAACCCTTTAATACGTCATTACTATTTAAAACTGTGACTAAGGGGCACCTGGGTGGCTCAGTCGTTAAGCGTCTGCCTTCAGCTCAGGTCTCGGTCCCGGCGTCCTGGGATCGAGCCCCGCATCGGGCTCCCTGCTCAGCGGGAAGCCTGCTTCTCCCTCTCCCATTCCCGCTGCTTGTGTTCCCTCTCTCGCTGTGTCTCTGTCAAATAAATAAATAAAATCTTTAAAAAAATAAATAAATAAAACTGTGACTAAGAGGGCATCTGGCTGGCTCAGTCCCTAGAGGATGCAACAGGGTCATGAGTTCAAGCCCCATGTTGAGTGTGAAGCCTACTTAAGAAAAAAAGGAAACTGTGACTAAGAAACTGATATTCT